AAAAAAAAAACCAGGATAATTCTCGGAACACCCGCATCTACAGTACCGGTTCCTGCGGCCGCATTGTTTCCTTTCGTTGTGCTCTGAACAGCGGTTCCTGACGCACCGGCCATTCGACGTCGGCGCTAAGAGAGATGAACCCTTTTCTCCTGCCACAGACAGACACTTAAGGAAATATTATCGTCCATTACATTTCAGTCTTGCCGCCGGGCGAGGAAGATCATAGGCGTGGCGCCGGTTTTGTCCCTAATTTAGGGGGATTTCTCCAAGAATAGCACATCAATTGTTACCGAATATAGCGCTTCGTGGCGAACAATGTTTATTAACAACTACTGCAATTTACAGCTAGAAAGCTGCAGAAATGCAGCAGGTGCAAAAAATAGCAGCACTTTGACGCGCGACTCTAACATGAAACGATTTGCGCCGGGATGTGGAGGTTGAGTATACTACATTCTGGCATATTGACTGTTCGCGGTTTACCTAGTATGGGTTTCTCTTACCTATCTTGGATGCCGAAGACGCCAGAGATATGGGGATCGAAATTATGGGCGTCACAATGGAGGGTTTTCGTGTGTTTCATGTTTTCCGGGGTTCTGTGCCTGGCGATACGTTGAATTTGTTTCTTTTTCTGTGGTCTTGCTCGCTGAGCGCATCAGGGCTTCTTGAAGAGGAGCATTTATATCCAAGCGATGTCCTCTGGTATCTGTCAATTCAATTTGCGAATCAGTCCAATTAATCATACTGGCCATTGTTTGGCTCTGCGAGCCCCGTTCTATTTCATACAAGACCGGCTGCTTGTTTTATTGTTTAATTTCTTTCTGCACCGACATATTCTGAGACACCACAGGAAGCTGGTACTTCCTATCTTGCACCTGGAAATTCATACTCTCCAGACTGCTATCAATATGTCTGTTCAATACGCTTACTATCGTCCAACAACACCCCCGGACGTCCCATTGAGCGCGGCACATAGTCGCCATGCCTCAGACTCATCCGTTTACTCTACCGACGCTTCGTCTCCCTGGTCTGCGACGACATCTGCAACTAGCCCTGGCGGCTCACCACCCCGGAAGCTTCATCACGGGCCAGCACTTCTTCCTAAGATCCGGCCCCAGGATGTTGTGGTTGAGCCTGCTCCCCCAGCTGGATCGCGTCAACGTCGCAGCACGCGGAATCTACCAGCTCCCTTGCCGTACGTTCATGGCAACTCAGGAGCTCAGCAGAGCGCTCATCTTGCATCCCCGGCTGCTCCGGGGTACAGCTCAAGCAATGGCGTGGCTCTATTGTCGCCAGTGAGCATCACATCATCGAACAAGCGCAAGGCATCGTCTTCCCCTGAGGGTCATTCCCGGCATGTATCTGAATCGAGAAACCGTGAGGCGATGCTGGAACGATATGGCTATCCTACATACCGACAGCTGCCCAGGTACATTGTTCCGTCTACGCCAGCGACTCCGAATATCGTTGTGCATCCACCGCACTTGCAGCAGCGTTCGACGGCCGAATACACATATCAGCAGTCACCAGTGGCCGTATCGAAGACACCACAGTACTACTACCAGCACTCACACACCCAAAATGTCCATCCATACCCCGCTGGCTCGGTCTATCGCTCTGAGGAAGTGCAAGAGTCAACAACAACAACAATGTTGTCGTACCTGACGGCACCTACGCAGGCGATCAAGCTGGTGCGAAACGTCAACGTCGTGCCAACCAGAGGAATGCACGATTACTTCTGGTGGGACATCCGCAACCTACGCAGCTGGACATCGTTCCAACCCTCCACATTCGACTCAATTGATTGCCTAACGAAACTTCTAACGACGGAAATCCCATCATACCTCACCCCGCCGACCATGGTCCATCCTTCACGTCTCGCACCTGAATGCGAAACCACCTTAATCGGTTTGGTCAATGACATCTACGCCCCCCGCGTCAACGCAGCGCTGGCTGTATCCCAAGGCACGAACCACTTACGGCTCTACGCAGCACCCGGAGTGCGGACCTCTGTGAACAAGAACTACGGCGGACCGCACTTCCTTGCTAACTACTCAACCGACACGGACCAGACAAGCTCGGGGCTGCCCCGGGGCCGACTCGTCGGGATAGTTAGAAGCTTTGACCGGTGGAACACAGGGATGCGCAAAGAAGCGGAACCAAGACGGGTTGAGTACTTGAACGGTCTCGCACACTTGCAGCGATGCATGCGCGAACACAACTGTCGATACGGGTTCATAATGACCGAAATCGAACTTGTTTGCATACGCGCAGGTTGCGACAACGGCGACGCCGAAGCAGTCCCATACTTCGGCTTCCTCGAAATCTCCCCTCCCATCCCAACCAAAACCTCCGACGACGATACCCGATTCCAATCCCCCGCTCTATCTAGCACAGGCATCGACGGCCTCTCATCCTCAACCTCGTCCACCCGCAGCCGCAGCAGCAGTTACTCGCCCATCCCTGACCGCAAAACACACCCCTACTACAATACATATGCAAACACACAAACCCTCGATGTCCCCCTAACGACAACCCTAGCTCTTTATTTTCTCCTCATGCTTTCGAAGGATACGCCACTGCCCTCTCAGCCCTCACCGCACGTCAACGTTGGCGGACCAGGCGCGCTTACTCGGCAGAAGGTTCTGCCAGAGGGCAGGGATAAGTGGATTCCGAAGGTGCATGCTGGGGAGACGAGAGATGCGAAGAGGGTTAGGGGGTGGGTGTGGCCGGAGGATCCATGGCATAGGCGGGAGAGGGGCGGAGTGTCGTCGAGAGGGAGAGGGAGGGTGGTTAGTGATAGCAATGGGGAGGAAGGTGTGAGAGTTAAAAGGTGGCATAAATAGATTCACTCGTTAAAAAATATTTTCTTTGTTTTATTGTAAAGATTCTCTTAATGATCTGTATCTAGACGTGTTACAGCAAAGGGTAGCGTAGGGCAGTAGGGCATGCTGCACATATAAACTCGCGTCATGAAAATAGATGCGGAATTGAATTTATTATTGCTGCATAGCATCACACTCAAGTAATTGATCGACACTAACAAGCAATCCTATTGCACACCAGCACCCCGTCTATACAACCCTCAAGGTCCCCCAACAATGAACACATTCGATTCCAATCCACAAGGACCTTGCGATCACCCCGGCACGAGTACCTCAGTAGTTAGCCATATAAAGCACCAACACCCACCTACGTAGTGAAGCCCATTCAACCAACCCTCATACACATTCATAATTACTATACAGCATACGAAATGACATCTTTCCCCGATCTCCTCGACGTCCTCATCATCGGCGCCGGCCCCTGCGGCCTCGCCGTCGCTGCACGTCTCCACGAAGAAACACCATCAGCCATGTTCACAGACGAAGAGCATCAGCGCTACCACTGGATTAGCAAACATAGTGGGCGGATGGCGTTGGTGCAGGCACGGCATAAGGGGATTAAGGGCGTTAGGGCGGAGAAGTGGAATGGAGGCCATCAGGGGGGAACGAGTGATAAGAGAAAGGCTAGTTTTGATATGAGGAGAGGGAGAGGGAGTACGTCATCTAGTGGTAGTTCGTACTCATCTGCTGGTTCGTCTGCTTCGGATGATGATGAGCCGCCGTCACTGTCTACGTCTCCTGAGTCGGTGGCGTCAATATTGGCTGCTGAGAAAGGGCAGTCGTTAGAAGCGACTGGGGAGCAAGATAGAGGATTATCGATCAAGGTGCTTGATAGTACTGGTGATCAGTGGATGGAAAAGTGGAATCGGGCGTTCCGGGCGTTGGAGATCCAGCAGCTTCGGAGTCCCATGTTTTTCCATGTTGACCCTGGAGATCGGGATGGGATGCTTGCGTATACGCAGGAGACAGGAAGGGAGAAAGATCTCTGGGAAATCTCTGGGTGTGTGGGGAAGGAGTTGAGCAAGCATCAGAAGAAGAAGAAGCAGCAGAAGTCGAAGCAGTGTGTTCCCCCTTGTACTTCGTAATATGATTCGGAAGCTAACTTGAACAGAACAATAAGCCAGGTTGAAATTGACGAACGGGACCGAAAAGATTACTTCTCGCCATCTACCGGCCTCTTCGAAGACTACTGCTCGTCCATCGTCTCCCGCTATGGCCTCAATAAACCTGGTACAATCCTCCACCGCGAAGTAGCAGATATCAAATACGACGCACACCCCGATTTCCCCGCAGAAGAGAAAATCTTCACTGTGACAACCACAACCGGCGACACATTCTATGCCCGTGCTGTGGTCATGGCCATCGGACCTGGCCGAACCAAGATCCTCCCCTTCCAGCCCTCTGACGAAGAGAAGCAGGGATGCTGCCACAGCACGGAGATTAAAGAGTTTCCTAGCCCCAGTGTGAGACATAAGATTCAGCAGAGACGACAGACGAATATCGTCGTTGTCGGGGGTGGTTTGTCGTCGGCGCAGATTGTGGACATGGCTATTAGGAAAGGGGTCAGTAAGGTTTGGTTTTTGATGAGGTCGGATTTCAAAGTGAAGCACTTTGATATTGGACTGAGTTGGATGGGTAAATTCAAGAACTATGAAAAAGCGGCGTTTTGGTCTGCGGATACGGACGAAGGTAAGCAACCCTACATCACATCATCAGCGCGAGCAGTACACTAACAGACGACCAGAACGCCTTGAAAAGATCAAAATTGCCCGCAACGGCGGCAGTATAACCCCCCGCTACCAAAAAATAACCAAACACCACGCCTCCCGCAATCGCTGTTCCATCCACACCCGCACAGCCATCGTCGACCGCCAATACGACCCCATGACCCAAACCTGGTCCCTCACCACTGACCCCCCCATCGACCTCCCACCAATCGACTACATCTACCTCGCCACAGGCATGGGCTTAGACGTCACCGAGCACCCCATGCTGCAAAACATGCATCGCGACTACCCAATCGAATGCAAGCAAGGTCTACCCTGCATCACGGACGATCTGATGTGGCAGCCTAATCTACCATTATTTATGACGGGAAGATTAGCGGCCCTGCGATTGGGACCGGGGGCGCCGAATCTGGAGGGGGCGAGATTGGGGGCTGAACGGGTGGCCTGGGGGATGGAGGATATGTTTGGGCTTGGGGGGGATGAGACAGAGGGGGAGGGAAATATGGAGAGGGATTGTTTCTGTGGGTTGGGGAATCGGTATGCAGGGTTAGATGTAGATCTGTAGCTTATCTGAGGTTGTTGTGAGACTATACGGACTTCACTACTGAAGGACGAGGCTGAAGGGCTTGTATTTTAGAATATGTAATTCTATGACGGATACACAATTCACCTATAAATATCCTGTAAAGTATGTATCTTACTTTGTAATGACAATACAAACTAAACCATCTGAGCATAGTAGTGTGCATAAATGATGCTGCCTGCCCGACCTATTCAGCTTTCTTTTCTCCTCAGCTTCCTTTTTCTTCTTCCTCACTCTACGCCTCGTGAGGCTCTCTTGCACCACGCAACCGAATTCGTACTGTCTCACAATTTCACGCCATCTCTGACGCTCTGCTTCAGTTAGCTTCCTTCCAGCTAAGCCCCTCGCTTTGTTTCTTCGGAAAAGTCAGCTGATATGTACCAGCCACAGTTATTAGCCACATATTGCACCGCCACACATATATCTGGCCAAGGGCTCTTCAGCCACATACAATGCGCCACAGTCATGACATACAAGCCACACTTCCAAAAGCGGTTTAGCTTCTCACCACCTTCCCATTCTAGATGGGTCTATCTCCCATCACCAGTGGCTACTCGCTAGTCAGTCAGCATTATCTTATCCATCACACTCAGCCGTCATCATTTGCCGCGTGGCCAATTTCAGAACTATTGCTCAATCTATCTGCCTGTATGAGGCGGCTGTGATGGAAGTACGACCGAGGCCACGGAGCAATTAGCATAGCAATGCCTAAAGGATGAGCATGAGTGATGGTGAGCTAAATGTAATAACCAATGAGAGTGCTCCGGCTTCTGATTGAATCGCGCGCGCGTGTTCTGCGCTGCATTGCAACCTCATACCGACAGATACAAACACTAACTACTGATAATGAAGCTGAGACGGACCCAGGGGTTGGTTCCCCGGCCGGCGGTTACAAGGTGGGAAACCCCGGCCTGTCAACACGATGCGATGCTCATTTCTACCATGTAACGGAATATGGCTCATTTCGTCATGAACAATTTATTCTAGCCGGATTTGAAAAGAGTCTGGAATGGAGTGACCAAGCATAACCGACGATTCAGGAGATGAAGGTTTCCCAGCGCGTGGATCTGGTTGGCCTAGTCCGTTGAGGCTGTGTACTCAATGCTGATCTATGGAAATGAGAAATGAGAAATGATCATTCCATTCATTGGACTTGGCTTCCTAGTGCAGAGTACGTGGTCTCATTCTCGTTTTCGGAGTTAGTTACGGGGTCTGCTCGCCGCGTCGTGTGTTGGGTACTACTATCGTGGCAGTTGTGTTTGCCATCGGGTATGCTTGTATAGCAGGGCCTCACGATTCTTTTCTTTCTAGAGGTTAAACAACCTGTGGTCTGTGGCAATGGATCATGACTGATATTTTGTTGGGGCATCGGAATAAAATAGGGAAAAAAAAAAAAAAAAAAAGGGTAACAGGAAACAAAGCACAGGCGCGCCGCCCAGACGTGCACTGCCCCGGTACAGAGAGGGATGCTCCCCGTATCTGTACTTAATGTCTTTTTCTCATATAAACAAACTCCCAGTCCCTTGTCACTAAGTAGGAAATCTCTGTCAGTCTATATCATCATTATTGTCATAATTTCAATGAACTTTCTTGACTTTGCCGATTAAGTCGAGAGTTTATCGGTCGCATTCATGACGACCCCAAATACTACTAATCGTCGGGATGAGCTCCCCAACCCTTCAATAGTGGTTCCAGAGGACAGTGAGGTATGTGCTTGATTCTGCATTGATATGGTACCATAGTGCTGTGCTGACATCTGATAGCCGTCTTCATCATCGTTATCGCCCACATCACCAAGTCTCGGCATAAGCCAGCCACAACCAACCCTATCACCTGATACCGCTCGATTAACAGTCGGCAATGCACCGCCGCGGACATCGCATTCGTTGGACGGGGACACCCTGCGTTCCCGATCCGGCTCGTTCAACTCATATGCCGACACCGTTGGACGATCCAGGGCTGGTTCCTCAGCCACTCAGGCGCCTCAGGAGCAACCGAAATCCAAAGCAGAATACGACGATGTACCAGTATCCGAAGCCCTGGATCCGGATCCTCGAAATGTACAAGACTTTCATGTGGACAACAACAAATTCGCTTTTACGCCCGGTCAGCTGAATAAGTTGTTGAACCCAAAGTCGCTCGCTGCTTTTCAGGCGCTTGGTGGCTTGCGTGGGTTGGAACGGGGTCTACGGACGGATCTTACGTCGGGGTTGTCGGTGGATGAAGCCCGGTTGGAGGGTACTATTGGTTTTGAGGAAGCGACATCTCAATCAACATCGGACAAGAAAACCCCGATCCCAGACGACAATTCTTCCGATGTATCGCAATTTGAGGACCGTGTACGAGTGTTCAACTGGAACAGACTACCGGCAAGAAAGTCAACTGGCATCCTGAAGTTGCTCTGGATTGCCTACAACGATAAGATCATCATCCTCTTGACTATCGCTGCTATCGTGTCGTTGTCTTTGGGTATCTACGAGACGGTTGACGCCGGACATGGTGTTGATTGGATCGAAGGTGTTGCTATCTGTGTGGCCATCTTGATTGTCACCATTGTCACTGCTGCCAACGACTGGCAGAAGGAGAGACAGTTTGTCAAGCTAAGCAAGCGGAACAACGATCGTGAAGTCAAAGCTGTCCGCTCTGGAAAGGATGTTATGATTTCGATCTTCGACATCACGGTCGGCGACGTTCTTCACCTGGAGCCTGGTGATGCAGTTCCTGCCGATGGTATCCTCATCTCCGGCCATGGAATCAAGTGCGATGAGTCTTCTGCTACTGGTGAATCGGACCAGATGAAGAAGACCGGTGGACATGAAGTCTGGCATCAGATCATGGACGGAAACGCTACGAAGAAACTTGACCCTTTCCTGATTTCAGGAGGCAAGGTCTTGGAAGGCGTCGGAACCTACTTGGTCACTAGTGTGGGACCGAACTCGACTTATGGACGGATTATGCTGTCGTTGCAGGAATCGAACGATCCTACTCCTTTACAGGTGAAGTTGGGTGGGCTGGCGAACTGGATTGGTTGGCTGGGCTCAGGCGCGGCTATCATCCTTTTCGTGGTGCTGCTCATCAGGTTCCTTGCTCAGCTTTCGGGAAACACTGCCACCCCTGCCATAAAGGGAAAGCAGTTTGTTGACATCCTCATTGTGGCTGTTACCGTCATTGTCGTTGCAATTCCTGGTGAGTATACTCTAATCCCTTCTTCTGTACGGTCAGTTTGCTAACGTCTCACAGAGGGTCTTCCCTTGGCCGTTACACTTGCCCTTGCATTCGCCACAACACGGATGGTCAAAGAAAACAATCTTGTCCGTGTCCTCCGTGCTTGTGAAACCATGGGCAATGCAACCGTTATTTGCTCTGACAAAACAGGAACCCTGACGCAGAACAAAATGACCGTAGTTGCTGGCACCTGGGGCTCTAACCAGAGTTTCGGTACCGCGGAGAACGATACTGCCGTGCCTGTGTCTGCCGTGTTCAAACAGTTTTCGACAGCTGTGCGTGAACTGATCACCAAAAGCATTGCGCTCAACTCTACTGCCTTTGAGGAGGACAAGGATGGGGCCAAGGAATTCATCGGAAGCAAGACTGAGGTGGCATTGCTGCAGCTGGCCAAGGATCATCTGGGCATGGAAGTGACCACTGAGCGCGCCTCTTCGGAAATCGTCCAATTAATTCCCTTCGACTCCGCCCGCAAGTGTATGGGTGTGGTTTACCGCGAACCCACTGTCGGTTACCGTCTTCTTGTCAAGGGTGCTGCCGAAATCATGGTCGGCTCGTGCTCGAAGAAAATGACGGACTTGGACTCCCAGAACCGTATCGTCAACGACCAGTTTTCCGACAATGACCGTCAGAACATGCTCAACACCATCGAATCATATGCTGGCAACTCCCTCCGAACGATTGGACTGGTTTACCGCGACTTCTCCAGCTGGCCACCCAAGAACGCCGAGCTCTTGGAAGATGACCCGTCATCTGCCAAGTTCGAAGACATTTTCCATGACATGACGTGGATTGGCGTTGTTGGTATCCAGGATCCTCTGCGGCCCGAAGTCCCCGGTGCTATTCAGCAATGTAATGCTGCCGGTGTGCAGGTGAAGATGGTCACAGGTGATAACATCGCAACGGCAACAGCAATTGCGACATCTTGTGGTATCAAGACGGATGATGGTTTGGCCATGGAAGGGCCCAAGTTCCGCCTGTTGTCTGACAAGGAAATGGACGAGGTGATCCCGAACCTTCAGGTCCTGGCTCGCTCCTCACCGGAAGACAAACGCATCTTGGTGGCTCACCTGAAGAAGCTCGGCGAGACTGTGGCTGTGACTGGTGATGGCACCAATGACGGTCCTGCGTTGAAGACTGCCGACGTGGGATTCTCCATGGGTATTGCCGGTACGGAAGTGGCCAAGGAGGCTAGCTCTATTATCCTCCTTGACGACAATTTCAAGTCTATCGTTACTGCGATTGCTTGGGGAAGGGCTGTCAACGACGCTGTTGCCAAGTTCCTCCAGTTCCAAATCACTGTCAACATCACCGCTGTCCTTTTGACTTTCGTTTCATCGCTCTACAGCAGCAGCAACCAGAGTGTCTTGAACGCAGTGCAGCTGCTCTGGGTCAACTTGATCATGGACACTTTCGCTGCTCTCGCTCTAGCTACCGATGCACCTACGGAAAAGATTCTCAACCGAAAGCCTGCCCCCAAGCATGCCTCTCTCTTCACCTTGACAATGTGGAAGATGATCCTGGGCCAAGCGGTTTACCAATTGGCCATCACCTTCATGCTCTACTTCGCCGGCAACCGTCTTCTCGGAAGCCAGCTCAGCGCCGAAAACGGAGACACCGAGCTCGCCACGATCGTGTTCAATACCTTTGTGTGGATGCAGATCTTCAACGAGTTTAACAACCGCCGCCTCGACAACAACTTCAACATCTTCGAAGGCATGTTCCGCAACTACTGGTTCCTCGGAATAAACTGCATTATGGTTGGCGGCCAAATCATGATTGTCTTCGTCGGCGGGGCCGCCTTTGGTGTCACTCGCTTGACAGGTGTTCAATGGGCTGTGTGCATTATCTGCGCCATTGTTTGTCTACCCTGGGCGGTTGTCCTCCGAACCATTCCGGATAAGCATTTCGGAGTTGTCTTCAATGCCGCCGTCAAGGGTGTTAGCTTTGTGCTGCGCCCGTTTGCCAAGGGATTTCGCCTCTTTGCCAAGGGAGTCAGATATGTCTTCCGACCCTTGAAGCGTGTCTTTCGTCGTGGAGACACGGGAAAAGAGAGCACTGCCGCTCCTTCTGACGAAGAAGCCACTGCTCTGACGAATGTGGATCAGAATCGTCTGCATACCCCAGAAGCACCTGTCACCCCTGTCAGCGTGCCACCTATCACTATTACGACTTCTTAGACGATGAGGGTGGGTAGCTAAGCTAGCTCACTCTTATTCGTGTGAGGCATGCTTTGTAAATATTATGCCCCTCATTTACGACCTTTTTTTTTTTTTTTTTTGTGTTTGTGCTTGTATATTAGATTCCTTGGAAGCATTGGGTGGTCTCTTTGTTTTTTTACACTCATTTTCTTTGCATTTACTTTCTGATTTTGAGCGTGGGATTGGACCGGCGTTGAGGGCTTGTTTACTACAACTGTACAGTTCAGGAGGTATTATGTGTTTATTCTGGTCGAGTCATATATAATCTGAAAAGCAGGCAAGAAATTGTCTAGAGCCCGAAAATAATGATACCCAATATTTACAGCACTTGTGTTCTCCCATATAACTACTCTACTCATTGCGGGCTTACCCCTGGCTATCTAGTTGGTTAGTTAACTATGTAAATATAGATGCCTGAGGCAACATCCTCCGCACCGCCATCGTCACCCGCCGTCAAGCTGTCCACGACGACGAACTTCCTCCTGAGCTCCCATCTATTGGTGATATTCGAGTTGAATTGAACATTCAAATATACCAGATTACTATTCCCCTCTCTCAAATAAGAGATATTATCCTCCAGTTTTTTATCCCTGGAGAATCCTCTTGTCACGTCACTTACATTCATCCCCCGCCTACGTCGGACTGGGTAAGGACAGCTATCTCCCCAAGCCAACTAACAAGTGGCTGACAAACCGTGAAACGACTCAGTTTTCGACTAGTACTCGATATCTTCATTCCAATCATATCCTGAATACCCCCGATACCGATTAAAACCGCCAAAATGGACAACTACCGCACCATCAACATCGACGTCCTCGACCCGGAGTCCTCCTCCAACTTCCCCATGGAAACCCTCCTCCCCGGCACCCTCCCGCCACCCCTCTCCTCCTCCGACGCCGCCGGTGTCGCCGGCCAAGTGCGCCAGCTGCTGCGCGGCGGGGACCCCGAGGGCGCGATGCGGTACGTTCTGGACACGGCGCCGTTGGGCGGAGATGATCGCGCGAAGGAGGTACATATGGCGAGTGTGGTGGAGGTGCTGCAGGGGATCCGGCAGGCGGAGATGACCAGGGTTCTTGAAGGGGTGATTGGGGGTGAGGGGGGGTCGGAGAGGGCGGATTGTTTGATGAAGTATTTGTACGTCTTCTTTCTTTCATTGTACTGTGAAGGAGGGAAGGATGGCGCTAATGGTTGCTTGCAGGTACAAGGGGTTTGAGTCGTCTGGATCGAGCGGCGGTTCTCAGTCGCCGCGGAAGCTCTCTCCGCAAAGCACGGGGGGAGGATTCTCGCAAATTCAGACCCGGAATTTCGGCGAGGGTGGTGGTGGTCAGCAGATGAGCGTGCTGCTGAACTGGCATGAGAAGCTTGTTGAACTTACCGGGCCTGGTGCGATTGTTCGTGTCATGACGGACCGGAGGACTGTCTAAGTGTACGCTTCTTTAGACTGCGAAGAGATTACTAGGAGCGGGCTTCTTTTCTTGTTACTGTTACTTCATAGTACTGGCTGTGGATTTACACCACTTGTGGATGATATCCCGTTTTGTATGTTTTAGCCTTTATATTATACATATTGCTTGACACTACCGGCCTTCAAAATCTCCTCCTCCCAAGATATCCTTCAGATTAACGTCTCCGCTACCTCTCTGCAACGGCTGAGACTGCCCCTTCCCTTCCTTCCACCCAATCATATAAATCAACCGAAACGTCGCCGGAATCCCCCTCATCCCCTCTTCCATATGCAACTGCCGATAAATCCCCTCCGTCGCAAGCAACACATCCCGTGAAATAGGCCCTAACTCCCGGTGCAGAATAGCATTATTCTCCCCCATCGACTGCAAATCCGTCATCAGCGCAAACACATCCGGAAACTCCACGAGGATATCCTCCACATCCACCGTTAACATTTTAAACCCAGCCCGGTTGAGCAAGCCCCCGACATCCCGAACATCCGCTAACGGCGACACATGCGGACTCACGCCGCCCCGTCTCTCCATGTCCGCGAGCTGCAGTGACGTTCGTAACTCAAAGAGTGTGTCTCCACCGAACATCACCCCGATGAACGGACAGTCTTGTTTAAGGATCGTGTTCACCTGTGCTAACAACGAGGGAAGGTCGTTGACCCAGTGCATCGAGAGCGAGGAGAGAACCGCGTCGAAGGAGTCGGGTTCGTAAGGGAGGGATTCGAGGTCTGGGATGACGTCGCGCTTGATGTCGATGTTTTTGTTAAAGGGGAGGTCTGCGTCGCGGTGAAGGAGGGCTTTAGAGGTCTCGACGCAGGTGAGTTGCGAGATTCGTTCGGAGAGAGGTGGGGATTCGCCGGTTGGGGAGACAAGGTCCGGGGTTGGAGTTGTGAGGGCGCGGGCAATGTTGCAGCTGTTTGCGCCTAGGTCGAGGACGTTAGGGATTTCCCGTTTGATATCCTGTTATGATCTGTTAGCTAGCCGTTGAGTCCGACATTGGTTGCGAGAGAAGTACCAGTAATCGTTCGCATAACCGCATCGCCACTTCGTCTTTGATGTAGTCGACTTTCCGGCCCTCTTCCACATTTCGAGCTGCGCGGTCTTTCTGCAGAGTCTTTGACTTTCGATTGAAGACTTCCAGCATGGGGTTTCCGGGCGTTTGGCTGGCATAGCTTCTTCTCCCCGCGGCCGTGAAGCTGCGGCGTGCGAAGGTCGCTGGACGGAAGAGAGAGCGTAGGGACATGATGTTGTATTTCGATGATATATGATATATTCGTTTCAATTGAGCAATTCAGTGCATTTTGAGTCTTCACATAAAAATAAGCGTGGGCGTTGTTAGAAGAAATCCGGTCAAGGTAAAAGTCAAGGAATGACTGACGTCGGCGGAGAAATCATTCCGCTCTTCTCTTCACGCGTTGCCGTCAACAACACCGCAAGCGACTGTGGGGAGTTTGTGCCCTTTTTTACTCTGAAGACCGGCTTTATTTGACCGGTTGCTCATGGCTGGGTTTTTCTTGCTATAGGACCTTGTGTTGGTTGTCAATTGGAGGGATTGCTGGCTTCACGGTAAATCATCTACTTGTCCGGTGGAATCTGTCCACATTGTTTTGTACTTCGAGATGGGTTGACAGTAGCTAACAGAGCCAGCTGATTGGAATAGTTGCTTTCATTCGTCAATTCTTCATAACGTCCATTCAGGTCACTACAGAGGAACTTCGTCCCCGACCGCTCCTAAACACCCCGCAGGCGAAAAGGATACACTGTGATCGGCTCGTACTCGTAACCATTCGATATGTCTCGGCCATTTCCGTATACCTATATCTCCTGCCCCTGCGCCGATACTCCAGTCCCCGACCCGGCCAGGAAACGCAGGTCTCGAGAGTTCCCCCAGAAAGCGAACCCCGATGCTCCAGGGACAGACGAAAAGGGAACAATAACGGAAGACGAAGAAGAGGAACAAACATTTGACCCGCGATCTCCGCGCTCCAACTTCTCGCTCTACCCTCCAGAGCAGCTTCTTTACTGTGAAGATTGCCATCAGATTAAGTGTCCGCGATGTATAACGGAGGAAATTGTGTGTTGGTATTGTCCAAATTGTCTGTTCGAGACGCCGAGTAGTATGGTGCGGAGTGAGGGTAACCGGTGAGTTGGTCGCCAGAGATAGGAAACGGGGTTTCGGCTAAGTGGGATGACTGCAGATGCGCGAGAAATTGCTTCAACTGTCCTATTTGTACTGCACCTTTGTCAGTAAGCACGCTGGAGAATGTCACAGGGAACGGGTCTCAGCAAGGTCCCTGGGTGCTGTCCTGTGGATATTGCATGTGGACGACTCTGGATATTGGCATCAAGTTTGACAAACCGACAAACATCCGAACCCAACTCTCCAAGATGGCCGACTCGACATCTCGAGGGAGGCAAATGTCTAGGTCTTTGGGTGATCTCAAGTCGCCTTTGTCCAACTACGCTTCCGTTGATGAGCAATTCTCGGCCACTGAGGATGGAGGCCCTGACCAGCCTACAGAGCCTCTTGGTGCAGATGCTAGATTCGCGGCTCTGAAGGGCTTTTACAGGAACCAAATCGCGGAGACTAGTACATCGCCTAATGATCCTTTAGGGACGGATTTCGCCGGTGGGTTTGCTTCACCTGGAGCCCTGAACCGTATCATGTCGCTTTACAACTCATCTTCCCGGCTGAGCAGCCTCTACAACAAGAAACCCAAGTCCAAGCCCCCAGTGATGAGAGAGGCTCTCACGGCAAGCGAAGGCCTTAAGATCCCAGTGCCTGGTGCAGAGGATGCGGTAGTTCGACGTATGGCTTCTGACGAGTGCGGATGGGATGGTGTCGCTTCCATCGAGCAACGTTCTTTCCAGCCCCCCGACGCCCGGTTTGCGGACGATCTTCTTCCCCTGCCTGTGTTGCTTCGAACCAAGCGTTCCAAACGTTGCAAGTCTTGCAAGCACATTCTCGTCAAACCCGAGTTCAAACCACAATCAACCCGTTTCCGTATCCGTTTGATCGCCCTTAGTTACATCCCTCTCGCGACTCTACGCCCTCTCACCATCTCTCCACCTCAACCAGGTTATCCCACAACCGCACCCACGGTTCCGAATCTCGACTCCTTACCGCCTCTGAAACCCGTCCAGCTTCTCCTCACCTTGAAAAACCACATGTTCGACCCTGTTCGAGTGACCCTAGCCACACCATCCGTGACGCCAGGCCGTGTAGACACCAAAGTCACAATCCTCTGTCCGCAACTCGACGTCGGCGCTAACAGTGATGTCTGGGACGAAGCCCTCCAGGGCACTGCACCGGGCGAACAACGATCTTCCCGCTCCGGAGCAATGGGCATCGGTTACGAGAAGGTTGCAGAAGCAGGAAAGGTCTGGGACAAGGGTCGTAATTGGACGACAGTCGCGATAGAGGTCGTCCCCGGAACACTGCCAGGTAGTGGTCGTCGTGCCTCCAGGGCGAATAACGACTTTAACGATAGCGACAATGACGATGATGATGACAGTGTCGATGAAAAGGATCTTGACTGGAGCGGCCAATCCAAGGACCCCAATGAAAAGCTCCAACCTGATGAAGATGTACTTGAGATTCCGATCTTTGTTAGGATGGAATGGGACTCGGAGAATCAGATCGAGCAGCCTGTTAGTAAGAGTTCTGATACTGTTAAGAGGGAGCTGGCGTATTGGATGGTTTTGGGCGTGGGGAGAATTTCACCGGATTTGGAGGGTTGATCTATGTCAATTTTGCTTTGTTTTGTCGATACCAATACGTATTCATACCCCTTTGTTACATTTGCTTAGAATGGTGATGCTTCGGTACATATATCTTTCTTGAGCCCATTAATACGGCCCACCAACTTCTCATGCAGGGCGCATAGCCAATATTCGCCATTAGAATTGTCACAAGCGTCCGTAGAACCTGGATAATAGGACCAAAAACATCACCTTTCCCGCAACCTGGCGCAACATTACCCCCGAAAAGCACCTGGCGGTTGAGTCGCAGAACCTGTGGCTCTTCTAATCCTTCCGGCACAGGGAACAACTGCTATATATACACCAAACCATATCGTTAGTAAGCCTACCTTATGCTCTAAATCTTCCCAAACGGTCATAGGAGTCGGATATAATTTCCACATCACCGAAATCACAACCTGGACAGCATCATCCCCGCCTATGAGCCAATATACCATGTCGTCTTGGAGGATATCTTGCGATTCAGAGTAACCGCACTCAAAAGTCACTCGTGGTAAGCCACTGGTGCTCAATTGAACGGAAATATAAGGGGCTTTCATGGTATCAGCCCACGGGCCATTGGAGAATCTCCCACTGTCTTACAGATCAGAATGGTGTCTTTGGGGAACTGGGAAAGGATACCCATATAAAGCGGAAGTAATAGTGAGAATATTTCCTTCATCCAGTATAAATATATCTGTATTGAGCTATGCTTTTTGAGAGCGAGAATGACATTCTTGTGCTGCTTTGTGGAGTGGGGTTGACTTGGTTCGTGCTCGAAATATCTCAGTAGAAGGGTTGCAATGCTTGCTGTATAAGAAGTAAAGGAGCCATTTAACGGTCATAAGGGCTTGGGGGTGTACTCCTTTGGCTTACAAGCACACAAGTCTCCTCTGCAGAGCGTTCACTGTATCGACTGCCCAAGAGGGTTTGATATCTGTGTACACAAGCTGCTTGGCATGGGTATCATTTTCAATTGCTATCTCCTCGAGAACCCCTGGATGAGATACAATTGGAAATCGGATGCATTCTTAAATGTAGAGCCATTATAGCAAGGCATCTTCTATGAGGTTGGTGAATGACGCGCACCTGACTTTGTAGAGTTGTCTACAACGGACCAATAACAGCTTCGACCTGGTCAGCCACTAAACCCATTTGGGTCAGCCCTAGGTTGCCTGGGGTCACATGTTTTCTTCTCGTTTTTCTCCTTCGTTCTGGCTAGCACAGAAACGACATGGCTTCTGGTATAGCTCAGAGAGGAGCTTATGGTGCTCTTCAAATTTGAAGTCCCACGGGCAAATGCAATCTTGGTAGCCTCCGCAAGCAATGTGGCGAGCTCAGGTACCTGGGTTGTAGTCGTGGATCATTTTCTTGTGGGGGAGGGGGTAGAAAGAAAATCACAGTAACTCTCAGTCTTCGAAATTTGCCCAGAAGCCTTTGGCGGAATGTTCGCCTTGATGGGATGAGCACGATCCATGCAGTTGGCTTTTCATGACGTTTGCTGTGCTGGAACAGAAAGCAATAGAAAGGAAAAGGACCCTAAGAAAAGACAATAATGCTACCATTAGAAACAAAGTTAGGATGTGCTATGATAATTTTGGGTGTGCGAGTTCTTTGTTCGCTCGCTTATGGCCAAGAGGATCTCTGAGAAGGCAGCATCGAGATCATAATGGATCGCACTATATAAAGCTACATGCTGGTATAATTGAGTATACTTAGACATCCACCCCATGCGTCCAATCTACCTTGTCGAACATCAGGATAAATGATGGCTTGCACTCGCTGTTTGTCCGCTGGGTAGAACCGTCTCATCAGGAGCCAATACATATCGTTCTCATCGTCGTCAATAGAGCCTCCAGGTCTATTACTAACTTTGCTAAGTTTCACATAGGCAAGTAACAACTCATCGGTTTTTTGAGAGACAGAACACTAGCATATTCTGGCTTTTGAATGTCAAATGAGATCTCTTTCTCGCACAAGAGTTTCCTCACCCCATGCATACAGCATCTGATTTTTTGTATAATTTAGTTCTGGATCGTCATGTCACAAGCTTGGTCTTCTTTATAGACCTCCATAAAGTAGGGATATTGCTGGATAAGCTTGCTGGGCTTGCTGGGCGGAAGCCCGACACTGTTACGTCGTTGAGGTCGATACTCAATCAACGTGGAACCATATATACACTTGTAAACGAATTTTGGGCTACCACCCAACGACGCTTATCTCATGGAATGTATACACATCGCTGATCGCATCTATGGGGATCAACAAACAAGGGCTTTCGAAGAGTTGGCATGCAAAGCTTGTTACGCTTCGTCCCGGAACAGGGCCATCGAAACCGCATTCGCTTTTCCCCAGATGGTCACTGATTGTGGGTGACTTGAAAAGGCTTAAACTCGGGATTCTTTGACCACTTACTTCGAGTGCTAAATTGCCTGCACTTTGAAACAGGTGGTGCTCTGATTCGAGTGCTAGCCATACTTGACTATAGATGCCAGTTCTATGTGAATCTGCAAAGTCTGACGGAGTACCTTTGCTCTAGATATCTGAGATTATTTGTCAAAATCAGCGACGGCAGGGTACTGGTGAGAACGCTTCAGTCGTCTGAGCCGTTCCTATCTTGGATCGCGCCAAACCAAATGAGGGACTCGCAGACGCTACTTGCAATGATCAAGTCTTTATGGTATCATAGTCAGCGAGACTTGATTAGCATCGGAGACCTAGTGGACGGTCAGCATTCTGATTCTATTTCCCCCTTAAGCAAGGCGCATAGCGACAGCTCTTGTGGTGCCCGGCAACTTTAAAGGGTGCAACTACCCTTGGACAAGCCCATAAAATGGAGATACGTGCTCATCCAAGTAAAGAAAGTTAAGGACATGAACCCCACTGACAGTTTGGAGAGGGCCAGCGCGGCCCACGGCGCTCCGGTGGACCTGCGATCTCCATTCTTCGGTTTGTGGTTGTCATCCGGGGCAAGAAGAGCAACTCGTCAACAGGCGCTACTAACATAGTCACCAGTGATTTTTAAAGAGATTCCTCGTCGTAGCCAGATACCTTGTAACCCGCATTGAGAGAACAGATATGGGGACGCACATTCAATCCATACTAATCCCAAGGCATTCCATTCCGCGTTGACATAGCGGACAGTATGGACAGTGTCGGATCCGCAGCCAACGTGATAGCCGTTGCGCAGTGTGGGGGATCATCATCTTCCACTGTTATGAGTATAAAAGCACGCCAGAATGACTCGAACAAGCCAATGACGAATAGTATTGTGCAGAAGCTCAAGGCACTTCAGAAGTGTACCGCGCACATCAATGTCAGACGGCAAGGGAGTAGCGACGGAGAGATGGATGTTGAAGGGCCGGGAAATTGTACAGATTATACCGCGAGAAAATATTGAAACCACTGCAACGGAATCTATAGAGGCTGTAAGATTGAAGGTTGGAGAAGCTGAACCTAGGGCAGAACTGCAGTATTTGCCACAGTACGGACTATGGCGTAGGAGCTATTGGAACCCCCAAACAGTAGATAGTAAAAGCGAGAAAAAAAATTAAAGAAAAGAAAAAGAGATCATGATATTTTTATTATCACATCACACCCTTCACACATCTCAGGGACCCTAAACCCGAAACCAGACGAAGCAGCTACCCATGAAGAGAAAAGAAAAAGAAATACAATAGAATGAATTATCTTGTCCCATCTTGATTTCTTTTTTCCCCCTCTTCGATGTCTAATCGACGAGACCCCTCAGCTCCTTCATTCCAAACCCGATAGAAAAGAGATGTAGAATTGGCTGTCCTCAAATGCAAAAAAAAAAAAAAAACATTTTCAATTTTCATAAACCCTTGTGTTTTTTTTTTTTTTAAAAAAAAAATTTGTGACATGCTCCAAATCTAGTAGTCAGCGGGACCGCTCTGGGGGAACTCGAAGACAACGGCACGGCCGGTCAGTCTGCGGTAGACCTCGCCGTAGGCATCAAGTCTGTGGTCAACACCACCGCGCTCCTTCTCGTCGAGAACAACCTTGATGGTCTTGCTGCCGTCCTCCTTGGTGCGGATGCGCTTGCCAACGATCTCGACGGGGTAGACGAGGTCGGTGAGGATGGAGTCGTGGACAGCGGTCAGAGTACGCGAACGGGGACGCTTCTGGGTCTGGTTGGTGCGCGAGTTGACGGAGCGCTTGGGGCGGGAGAGGATGCGGCGCTGAGCGATGAAGAGGACGTGGCGGTCGGAGAACTTCTTCTCGAGCTCACGGGTGAGGCTATACGCGTTTTTGTCAGTTTTGCCGCTTTCACATGTATTTGTAATTCCTAATTGCAGGTTGTTTGCGCTAGGCGTACCGCTGCTGGATCTTGTGGAAGCCCTGGAGGAGAGGGACAGGGACGAAGATGAGGATCGCCTTCTTGCCGTGGCCGACCTCGACCTATAATCAAGTCAGTCAGACACTGTCCGCATGCCATGCTTGAATGCCAAATTCAATCCATCTCTTCAATTCCATTTGGGCCGCAATTAACCATCCATCCACCACGCAAGCCAGAATGCTTTTGTCCCAGAAATTTCCCAATCCAAATCCAACGTCCCCAGCCAACCGCAAAATATCCCCATCCCACACGGAGTTCTGGCAGGTATGCAAAGCGTAAAAGTCTTACCTCACGGGCAGAGACAAACTGCAAAGGCCGAAGGGTAGCCTTCAGGTCCTGTGTGTTGCTCTCCAAGTCGAAGAGAGCGCCGGCGATCGCAGTCTCCAGCTCGGAGGGGTTCTGCCTCGACGGCGAGTTGAGGGCGATCTTGTTGATAGCAGCCATTTTTGCAGTCGTCGGTCGAGGAGGGACGGAGAAGACGGGCTGCTGCTTCCTTTATTCTGCGGTCGGTCGGGAGAAGGATTGAGTAGTAACAAGACGGCCTTTGCGGTGGTTTGCCCGTGTGGGATCCGAATTGCGGCGCTCTCGCTTAGCCCTCGCGCTTGTCCGTTTAAGGCTAGCGCTGTCTGTCCGATTAGGGGAAGGCTTGTCCCGTGACTTGTCTGCCCTCGTGCTTTTTAATTGGCCAACCATCTTTACGACTTTTCAACGAATCCAGTATAATGTATTAAATACCTTTACCTCGCTCTAGAAATAATAAACACGCTGTGGAAGTAAAACTATACTCGGGTACTCAAACACCTCCAGACACTGTAGCCCAGGTCAGAGCCATAACAACAATGAGATCCCGTCGAATCATCAAATGGATATACCGCAATCTAGAAGCAAAACAGAACACGAAACATCAAGCAGTTTAGCACGCGCAGCCTTCCTTGGGTGTCGCAGCAGCCCGTTCACCCAGGTTCACTCTCGTGTCCTCAGCCGGACGTCCGCCACCTAAGGTAGCCTGACCAGTACCAGCGCCCCGTCCAGTCTTCAGGCTACTCTCCGGAATTGCATTGGCAATCGCCGTGAAAACCTCGGCCACATTGACACCAGTCTTGGCACTGGTCTCAAAGAACAGCAGATTCTCTTCCTCCGCATAAGCATTGGCCTCCTGAGTCGACACTTTGCGGGCGTCACCAGGGGTAGCCTCCTCGGCCTGGTTCTCGTCGTTGGTAGCTTCATCCTCACCACCTTCGGCCGGAGTCGATTCGCCAGCGGCTTCGTTGCTACCTTCGTTTGTCAAGTCGAGCTTGTTACCGACAAGGGCGATGACGATCCCGGGGCTAGCTTGCCGCTGGAGTTCGGCGACCCAATGCTTGGCCTTTGTAAGCGACGAAGGCTTAGTCATGTCGTAAACAACAAGCGCCGCCTGTGCATTACGGTAGTACATAGGCGCCAACGAGGCGAATCGCTCTTGACCGGCGGTATCCCAGATCTCGAACTTGATCGTGCGGGTGGGGAGGGAACATTTCTGGGTAAGGAAGGCAGCTGGTCAAAGCACAGACAATGTTAGCTAGCGTTCGGAACATTTACACCATGTTATGGATTATGGATTGTCTGGGGAAAACAGCACCGCGCAAGGGGGATCTTGGATACCTCCTATGGTCGGCTCTTTGTTCTCCTGGAAGTCATTGTTGACGAATCGCAGAACCAGCGAGGACTATTCCAAGTTAGGTTGTTCCCGTGCATTAGCCCGTCTGTCACGCATGTACAACCCGAAAGCACAAAGGAAGGGAAATACAATACCTTTCCAACAGCCGCTTCTCCGAGAAGCACCAGCTTGACGCTACTGCTAGGCTTCGGGGTATTTGTGCTCGTGGGTTCAGACATGGTGTGGGTGATGCCCAAGAGGCTATGAAAATCAAATTGTATTGTAGAAACAACTGGCGCGAATCGTAAACTGACGAACTGCAGATGAATGATAGTCCGGGGTTTGAGGTCAGGCGGGAAGGTTCGGTCGTTCGTCAGCCGCGGAGCAAGGCGATCACGACAGAGACAACGAGGTGGTCACGAGCGGGACAAAGCGGTGACAACTGGCAAGGAGGATAGTCGGTAGACAAGAATAGCTTAGAGTTTTGTCAATATAGAGTTGTTGAAGGGGCGGGGGGGAAGGACGAGGAGGAAGAGTGATGATGTTGGTGATGATGATGAGGCGGTCGTTGAAGACGGGGTGGGTGTCCCAAAACGGTTTAGCGCATTATCAGTCACGGGTAGTACTCTGTACCTCTTATGTCCCGATTCGGTAACGAGCATATGCTGGATGTATGGAACACTCGACGAACTATACTTGCTTTTTGAATATATGCGGTCGAAGTATAGAAGACTGATATAAGCCTGCTGGACTCTGCGTTCTTGGCATTAAAATCCGGGGTAGCTTCTTCCCACTACGCGGACATCATGACGCATATGGATGGCCGTTTTCTCTGTACAAGTTTTACCATATCCTTACAGAATGCAGCCAAGTCCAGGCTATAGCATACTTAGCCAAATACGTCCTAGATAATAAAAGTACATACCAATTACTCCGTACTACGCCGAAACACCGTAGAGAGTACCAGGCATAAGTACTTCGGAGTACACCGTCATCGTACAGGGTATATAAAGGTAAGCAAGAACAGAACTCAAATAGTTAACAGGTACGACAGCATTTCAGTCCAATCGCATCACCCATACCCTGGCGACAGCTTCAACGCTTAAACAAGTGCTTCCTTTGCCAAGGCCAACACCCGAGTACAAATTCATCCCAATAGACAACACACAGCGAAAACTTAGAATGCTCAACAATCCCTCTAATCTATTTTATTTTTAATATATACAATTTTCAGTCGCGTATTCCGCGAAAACCGCTAAGCGAGAATCCCACTCAGAAACTAAATACAAAAAAAAAAATTCCTGGAAAGAGTTACAGGCCCAATAGGCCAAGTCACTCATACCCCATATAATTCCTACCCGATACGGTGCTGTTTCTCCATACGGACTGCCACATAACACCAACGCAGGAGTGCATTTTTCGAACGCATGGAAATGACGTTTCCATACATACGACTAAAGCACGAAGATTTGAATGGTGCCCGGTTTAGTTGTGTTATGCTGGTGACGTTGCAGGCCGTGATTTGTCCATGGATCCTGTGGGTGGATGCCCAAATAGCAAGTAGAAAAAGTTTTGCATGCAAGATATTACAGATACTAAAGACTAGGTACAGTATTAGTGCAATAACGCTGGGTATTTCCAGGGTACTCTGGGATGGCTAAGCTGAAGACGAAAAAAATTTAATTTTTGTGCTGCAATCGGCAAGCCAGTTGAGTGAGGCAGGACGGTGGATATTGTAACAGCTGTCAGACAGGGGGGTCGTTCGGGGAGCACGGAGAAGGATGTACTTGGGCACAACAACATACAGTCACTGTTATTCTTGACCTAACAGTAGTAATAGTAATAGTACACCAGAGAGGAATGTATCCTGAAGAACATCTTCAAAAAAATTCAATGATCAATAATAAACACGATTGGACCGCGAGGTCGGTAAGTCTAATTCTGTCTGGTATCAAGAAAATCCCATAAAATGCCCCATTGTGAAAATCCATCCCGTCTATGTCAAACGCCAATCAACCCAATCAATAATCCAATGCAAACAAAAGAAACCAAAAAAAAAAAAAAAAAAAAAAAAAAAAAATAATAATAATAATAATCGAGCGCCGAAGATCGATGTCCGAAGAAGCCCACGCTGAAAGACAAGAAGGCATTAAAAGACGTATAGTGGCCTGAAGGCACGAATCCGGTAAAGAAGAAGCGAAAATGGTAACACTAGTGATACATAGACTATCACACAAGTTAGTTTGAATCTCAAGTATATCAGAAGAGGTAACACTTAAGTACTTACCGAAAGAAAAGATGAAAGAAATCAACTGGTAGCACAGTCGATTATCCGAAACCGTAGGCGCCATGAGGAAGCAATGTCAAAAACCCATAAAGAAACTTTTGTTCGCTGGAGAACGAGAAGAAAAGCAAAATCGCATCCGAAGTATAAGGATGGATTTATTTGGGCGGCGGTGGTGGTGCGCCGGGCTTCTTGATTCCTGTGGTGTCGTAGGCTCCACGTCCCATGTTGAAAGCAGAGAAGTCTGTGAGGATCATTGTAGATTCTGTAGAGAGGGCCATGGTCAGAAAAGGTCACAGGTAACAAGGATATGAGGATATAGTGGAGATTCCAGACTGGTTGAGGAAGAGAGAGAAAGGGACTCACCAGAGAATTAAATAGTATAAATATATCGAGCGATTAACAGGTCTAAACAAAGGTCTGAGAATAGGAGAAGACCGGCGGGTGATAGATAGATAGATGTAGAAAAAGAAAAGAGGGACCTGCAGATGAGATCGGAAAAGGCGATCCTTTTAAGAACGATGCAGCCGCCGAGAACAGACGAGATGTAGGGCAGGAATGTGGTCGACGGACGGAACTTTCAGCCCAGAAATGAATGAAAGCGAGAGCGCCAAAGCGAAGGAGAAGTGGATCCCGGATATTCGACGGATCGTTCCGATTTTTTATTTTTATTTTTTCTTGCTCTTTGTTGTTTTGTTGTTGTTGTGGCTGGCGTTTGGGATCGGAGGGCGAGGGCCAGCAAAGCGCGCGTGTGATTAAGTACGAGTCGGCGGCAGTAGTAACTGTGGGCCGTGGAGCAGCAGGATTATGATTATTGTCGTAGTTGTCGCTGGTGGACGATCTGGTCGATAATAATGAAACAACGAAAACAAATCCAGGTGACCGAGTAAATGGACCGGACTAATGCAATCGACGGCAAGGGAGTTCGGGATCCTGGGAAATTATAAAGAAAGGAGAGCGTCGCGGAACTCAGCTCCGCGGTTTCCGGGAAGTCAAAAATAAAAAGAAAATAAATAAAAAAGTATTTATCGGATTCGATGTATCGCAAGGGAGACCGAGGGTGAGGTCACGTCGGAGCCAAGGGAGGCAGGAGATATAGAGAGATTCGGCGATACGCGGCGAGGAGAGGGATGTTGTCGAGATAGAGATTAAAGTATGGCGATAAAGTCAACCAGGATGAGAGGAAGAGAGGCAGGAAGATGACCAGATATATGAATGAAGAGGAAGGAAGAAGTTACAAGGCAGAAGATCGATGAAGGGGGATCCATTAGGATAGATATAGGGACGATTAATGTAGTAATAACTCAAGAGGAAAAAAAAAAAAAAGCCAAAGACAAGACGGAAGCTAACTGTTTTTTTTTTTTTTTAAAAAAAAAAAATAATAATAATAATAATAATAATAAAATAAATAATAAAATAATAAAAAAGTAAAATAAACGTAGAACGACAACAGCAAAGAGAGCAGGCTGTTTTGGTCAATAATAGCTTCATCCCATATTAAACATTATTGGGTATTAGTATGTCATGGTAATACCCGTTGTTACCGTATGGAACCGTGGTACAGATTACTGTAACAGTAGTGGGGGCACCTCCCATGTCCCAGTGGGAAGGTACGCGAAGTTGCGTGGATGGGGATCCCCCTTTTTACCCAAGATTGACAGAACGATACGCATTACAGAGTTTTGTACCTATGCTTGTACAAGTACTTTTATGCAGATTATACAAATGGATCCCGATTGACTCTGGCCGTTTACCAGCTAATAATTCCGTTTTGTTTATTCTGTTGGTTGGTCGTTGGCCGTTTATTCGGTTGTTTAGCATTCCGGAAGCCTAATGATACATGATTCATACATACCGTCCGATACTCCTGTGATACTTCTGGAATCACAGGTAGAAAATAAATAGAAAAGAAATAATCAAGCAGACCCCACTCCATCCAAGCTAGGAACCGCTTCGTCGGACACAACGGGAAATCCACTCTATTCCAGCTATTGTGGAGCTCATTTCATTCCCCCGGCGCCAAAAAGGCGGAAGCAGGAACAGAGCCTAAACTGGGGCTCTAGTCCAGGAACAGTCTAGTGGCCCCGCTAGGTTTGTCTCGACTCTCGCGTGGTTGACTAGTTGCTACCCGCGTATGGTATGTATCGTATGGTAAAGAATAGGGGCATCCTCTTGTCTATCTAGTGCATGGTGGTTCGTAGCGGTTGTATGCTGTAGAATAGTATACGGAGCACAGTGCTCTAGAATCTAAAATAAATCTAGATGTGACCACGCGAGATTCCAGATGCCAATACCCGTCCTGCAGCCCTTCACTTCCCAGTTCCCCGACGAGTGCATGCATACATATGCAGTTTTCCACGCGATGGCTAATTACAGCATCCAGAAGTTTCGCGCGGTTAGAGACGTACATAACATAGTCTCGGAAGACGGTTCCGTTCCATCAAATAGATCGGTTCGATGCGAGGATCCCTTTTCTCCTTGTTTTCTGATCTATCTTCAATGTCAAACCATAGAGAAACAGCACATCCGCAACATTGATAACACGTCTTAGGCAGTACTTTACTTCGTACTTATCATTGCTTTTCTTCTCCCTTTATTCTATCATGTGCTGCTTCCGTATACGAAATACCAAATATTAGGATCAGGGATGAGTGGACCCCCCTGATTCCAGCCTCATCCTACCCTAGTTAGTATTACTATGATTTCACACCTGAACGATCGCGGATCCCACTCCATGCCCCCAGCCCACTTTTTTGGATTTCCGCACCAGCCCGTCCGGTTACGTAGGACCAAATCCAGAGTTTTGTATGGCCCCGTTTTGTTCTTGCCGCCTTCTAGCGCCGTGGTGAGTTATATAGTCGACGGAGCAGTGTCCGATAGAGCAATCACCCAACATCATAGGTAATCCTTAGTCGGTGTACTATACACCTTCGGTTCCTTTTCTAGAATCGATGCAGAAATCAACACCCAGACCAGTACGCTAGAATCAGCCTACCCCCAAAACCCGAAAATTACCCTGCAACTTGCCACTTTGTACAAGTATGATTCATCCCAGCCACATTAGCTCTGTAGAAGCCTTTCTGGAAATGATTAAGGAGTCTAGGTCCCGTGGCTTGATCTATCCACTTTCTACTATCCACCACTATCGATGAACCAATAATCGTCGCTTCGATTATGTACTCCGGACTCCGCTCAATAATCCTTCGTCGTCTTCTCCTGATCGGTTCTTTTGTCTTCTGGCATGGCCGAAAAGGCAGAAATAACGACGGAACAACTTCTTCAGCAGAGCAAGACACTAGCCTGTATGTACGAAGTATACTCTACAGTGTACAGAGTACAGTACTCCGCATCGAGTTGAAAGTGAAGAGTAACATGTTATATACAAAGTGATTGATAGAATCCATGGAATTCGGCTTCCGAATGATCGTTTACACTGCGATCGGAGAAGTTGACAAGTATCCTGTACAAAGGATTCCGCTCAACATTATTATCACCGGCCCATAGAGGGATTTATATAGATCGAACCTGATCGGTTGACATATTAGAACCCTTCTAGAAGAGTTAAATCGCTCCATCCGAAAGGTACTGTGGACTGGACTATGGTTGGGGTCCATTAGTGTGTACTTGTACCTGGTACCTGTGATTGTATCTGTATGTACTCTGTACTCTGTATATCATGTTCGTCTCTTCATTTCAATATGCATACATACAAGGACTACTTTGCACAGGAACTGTACAGGTAAACCAGTTCATAAACTGTACGAGTGTAATATCGGTCATTACCAATAATACCTTTAGAACGGCGCTAGAAACAACCGAGGCCCAATGGAAACCGTTAGAAAACCTTCCAGAAGACTTTCCGCTTCCGCGAGCTTCCTAATCGTCTCTTATTCTCCATAGTCGAGCTCCCCAGTGATAGCTTTAGTTTCCTAGTCGGGAATGAACTCCAGACCCAATAATATGGCTGATTAAGATGGATAGATCCACTGCGGCTCGCCTTCAGATTCCAGAAATCCTCATTATTCAGTGATATTCGTGGAACGCTCTCATACAGAATCGTACGGGAACAGTACGGTATGATAAATACTGTAAAGTACATCACATACCGAATAAATTCAGCTGCACCTCCAGACTTCGGCTCGATGCATTAGTCTGCACATCACAAATACTTGGGACACTGTATTCTGCACTTTCCATGCATACATATAGGACAAGGTCAATGTGAGACACAATAGAAACTGTATGGACTACCTTGCAGGACCAGCATGGGATTGATTGATTGACAGCGCTTGGACGCTGATTACCGTGGAGCTATTTGCCACCACGCGACATTCCCATCGGCCGGACTATCAGGGATACTGAATAAAAAGGGAAAAACGCGCCCGGGATGATCCTGCACTTGTATCCGGTACTTTGTACGAAGTACCTCCATGCAAGTATCCTAGATTATATTCTAGACGCGTGAGTTTGAATTACTAGCATTGCAGCCCAAAAACGTGCCCCTCCTGATTCATACCTGTCATCCAATAATATCTTATAATATGGAGTTCCTTGTGATCAATCTTCTGTCAATAGATTAAGGACAGATAGTCCGCGGAAACAACCCAATACTCCGTGGCGTCTAGTGCAGGAACCGGATCATTCTGGAAGTTGATCATTCCATTCCTGGGGTATTAGTATCGTCGATATAACCTGCCCCTGTTACGGAGTACGGAGTACGGAGATATATTAGGTACTTGTGTTATAGCATATGATGTTTATGGCTTTGACAGCGAGCACTATGGTTCAGCTCCAGCCACTCCATATGGCGTGTTATTTTGGGCTGCCGGATTGCCTCCCGGGCCAATAGATCTGCGAGTCGCGTTTCCATAGCATTGGACTACCCGATCAATTTATCTAGTGCTTCTAGAATACGATGTATGGATAATCGGGGATTTGGGTCGTAGCCTACTGTATTGAGATCGATACATTGGATAGCATTCATGGTAAACGTTGAATAGGAGTCACCGCTCCATCCACTCACCGTTATTCTACTTTATTTTGCCAGACTGTCAAATTGAGTTTGTCAATGCCTTTACCCGTCGAGAGAAGCCCAATTTACATCGAGTCGAGTCTATCACGTTCTACAAGTGCATTGACCGTCATGTTGGATACATGCTCCCAATTCCGCGCCAATAATCACTCGTCTCGCATCTTATGTACGTACCCCGTATATTACTCAACCGATTGCCAGTCCCCCAATGATGAATCGAATTCATTCCATTCCACGACGGAGAATTCCAGCTATTGAAAGAAACTGGGCCCGCGGAACCAAATCCGGGTCATAATGCCTGATGATTGGATCTTTCTGGAAGTCGATCATCTTCTAGTATACGGGGTATGCAGACTATCTCACTATCCATATAGTCGGTACGCAGTATACTTGTAGTCTGCATGCTAGCGACGCATGAATCGGATAGCATCCACTCGATTCTCGGCCCGGTGTGGATGGTGTGATCCACCGAATCGAATCGCATTTCCAGGTCGTCGGATCGGTTTGCAGAATTATATCGAGTTCGAGTCTAGAATCCTTGACGAAAGTACCATGCCGTACTTTATATTTTGTACTTTGTACGAGTGAGCGCGGTGTACCGTACAGAGTGCGGATTATGCAGTTTCCACTTGTATAGAATACCACTTCAATTCTTGCCGACAAGATACCCCCAACAATGCAGGTCGAGTGTTGATATCACGCAAATACCTGCTTTGTGGCGAGTAAAATGCTGTGTTATGTTCTACAGTCATGTATCACCACATCTGCAACATCCCTTGCCTGTTTGGGTATAATTGCATTCCACGGTATCAAGCCGGCTGCAGAAACAAGATATTAAACTCCGGCGTGGATTGTTCTGAATAGAGCCATATGTATCTTGTATGTTCTCATTCATTCTTTCAGTCGCCGTAAAGGTTTTCCCATTTTTCCCCTTCAGTTGTGGTTGTTTCTTGGCTTACCTTGAGGGGCATGTCCCGGAATGCGGCATACGCAATTGCGTCTGTGGGTAACTTGAGAGCGAAGTGAAGGAGGATCCGCTTTGGCCTCTGGTAGTTATGTAGGCATGCGCTGGCTTGTCCCTTGTAAGACACAACTGTATACAAAGTCACATGTTGGTCACGTGTTGTCAATTGACCAACATTCAACTTCCGTCCAGCGATAGGGATTGGGTGTATACCAAGAACCATTACAGGAACGTTAAGACGCCAGCGCCAGATACATCTTCCGAAAAACACAGCCGGTCTCGGGTATCGAGCTTGAGCCGGTAGATCCTCGTGGGGGAAGTCCCCGGGGATAATAAGTTTGTATGTCACGCAATTCGGAGTGCACCTTGATCATGAACCTACAAAGATATAGCAAAGGGTTCCGAAATTATGCAATTGCAAACATTATGGAAGGATATATATTTTCGACTTTTGCAGTTTGACAATCTCTGGCTACTCCCGGGTGGAAAATGCTCTTTGCTGGTCCTATCATCTGGGAGATATGAGTCCTCCGCCCGTTATCAAAATACCGGAGCCCGCTGCTTGCGTCTCTTACAATGGCTGGAAAGCACACTGAATAAAAGCTGTTCTTCCATAAAAAACTCATTGAGTTACATCAACGATATGGTCCACTTGTGAGGGTAGGGCCGAATCATCTACATATATGGGATAGTGATGCCATTGCTCCTATATATAACGGAAGTCGTTCGATGGGCAAACCCGAGTTTCATAGCGCGTTTACAGCTTCTAATCTAGACCCGTTTGGGACAACGAATAGCGACGTGAGTTGTTATAGAGTCCTACCATTGTTGATATACAGTGACCACAGAGAGATTCATTCCCTCCGTCGACGACAGCTCGTTCATGGATTCTCTCAAGCTTCTATTGTGAACTTGGAGCCTTTGATTGAAGTTGATATGAAATTCCTTAATAATAAACTACTTACATTTGCACAGACGAGGGAGACCTTTGACCCGAAACTGTTGCTCTCGCTCTATGTTTTTGATATTCTGGGCTCCGTTGCATTTGGCAGACATTTGGTGCTCAAGAGAGAGGCTATGAGGAAGTATTGCCTGCAATTAATGATCATTTACTCTTGGCTGATATCAAGGGGGAGCTACCTTTACAAGGCGTCATCAAGACGATCAGCAGGTGGTCACCAATTCTCTGGATGAGACAATTGATGAAGAACCGCGATGCTCTTAAGAAAGTCTGTGCGGAATGTATCAAGTACAAGATAAATAGTCCATCTGAGAGACAAGATTTTTTAAAGAGTCTTGTCAAAACTATAGACCCTATACCGGGTCCACGTTGACAGAGCAGGAGATCAACTCTGAAGCCTTCGTAGTTCTGTGAGTGCAATTGTCTTTGTATATCACAGATTTACTAATTGATCAAGCGCTTCCGGATTGCACTCGACTTCAGGGACTCTGACTCTCCTCTTCTGGCATCTTGTCCATAATCCGGATATCCTAGCCGCCGTGGTAGACGAGATTGAGTCTACTCTGCCTCCCCTTTCCGATGATCAAATAGCCTATCCTATACAAGGTCTTGAATCGTCGTTGATTTATTTAATGGCCTGCGTTCGAGAGAACTTTCGGATAAGCCCAGTGCTCACCATGCCCCTGTGGCGTCGTGTTGGCCGTCCTGATGGTCTTGAAGTAAAAGACTACTACGCCCCAGATGGGATCGGTTTCTCATCCTAGTACCCAAAATAACCATCTAGCAACCACAGACAAACATTTACATATCAAACCACATTCTACACTATAACCCCGCCATCTGGGGCAACATTCACAGCAAATCTAACCATTCCGCTGGCTCGACGAGAAACAAAGCAAAGAACTATCCCGCTATCTAATTCCCTTCAGTATCGGCCATCGCATGTGTATCGGCCGCAACTTCCCTATGACAAATATCCTCAAGACCGTCACGAAGACTTTGCTTCGGGAATTTGACACCAAACCGGTGAAAAAAGCGGCAAACGGTAAGGGTGCGTAGTCCTGGGATCGGGGAGATGGACGGGGAGTTTCTGTGTATGGTTTCACTACGAGAGGAATAATTTATTTTTTCGTTGCGGTTCTTTGTTTCTACCCATGATACAGGTGTTGGTGCCCCGTTTGATAGTGCAATTGGTCCATTGATTTAGAGATAACCAAAACGATTCAGCCGTACCTGATCCGCGAGAACCCGCGTCTCGGTGCATTTCCCGTGGTATATCACATGGATTTAATATGATAATTATACATCCGTACTTTGTTCATCCCTGTAAACACAAGAAATGACGATATGATCCATCACATGGTATACCAACAGACTTGATACATACAATCAATCATCGTTACTAGTCGTTTCTGTTGATTATATGGATTTTGGGGTAGTAAAAAGTGATTATCAATGGATCAATAATTTTCATGGGTATGGATCCCTGAGTGCTCCGGAAAACACAGCCTGCAATATGCATCTCGTACATATTCCTCACAATCGACCCGATGTTTGCGGTTATCGATTATCGTTCGATATATCCATCTGACATACGGGTGGGAGAAGAGGCACAGCCGGAAAGGAAGCGGACGGGAAGTCCGTGGGATTTATTTCCCTTGCTTTTTCTACTCTCATATGTGCTTTTGCTTTTGCTTTTGCTTGTGCCTGTCAGCTGTCACGCCGCTTATAACCTTGTCCTGCGGAAGGATACGAGCTAAGAATGTCAGGGATCCCTCGGCTAGAATTAGGTACGAAACCATCTTGGCACTTAAACACGGGAAATACATCCCAACAAATAACCCTAGCCTTATTTACCTTGCCCTAGCAAGCAAGTTGCAAAGCCAAAAATAACAGTTTAGCCAGCATCCTCATCATTATTCTTATCCTCGTCAACATATTCCTCATTCTCATCCTCATCCCCGTCCTCACCATCGTCCTCACCCTCATCTTCATCCTCGCTATCAACATCTTCGTCAATTTCAATCTCACCCTGACTACTTGGATGGTACGTATATCCGTCACTCGAAACATCGACATCAATAAACTTCTGCGTATAGAACGGATGGTCACTCCAGAGCTGCCAACCCTGACATATATATCCCATGACTGTATGCGTGATATCCTGTCCCTGACGGCGCTCAAAGAGTCACTCGCCAAGGAAGGCGAGAGTATTTCTGGTTGTGATTTGGGGATCGTCCTCGTAGTCGTTATCCTTGTCTTTCTCTTCTCAAAAATTTCATTTTTTTTCCGTGCTCCAAAGCGTAAACACCCGTTTATGTGATGATATTCCGGGAAGTCAAAGTAAAGCCGTCCGCCGAGGATTTCGAGCTCAAATGGCAGCCATAGCGGCGGTTCCCAATCCTCTGGGTGAGTGGAAATGGAGCAAAGGTCGAGGCGATTGAAGTGTAGCATTTTTCTGGTCACGGGAGCGTGGCGTATATGAGGAGGTAGACGAGTGGTATTTAGATTGTTCGGAGGAGGGGAATCAGGAGTTTGACTTCCTCTGGTATGACGACTAGTGCTGTACCGATACTGCGCTCCAGAGAATTTAATTTACCGGTCGCTGGGATATTAGTTTGTCTCATTTGATAGATAGATCAAAGAGTGATTACGGTAAAGTCATCAAGTATTCCTGCGTTGGTAGTTTTCACTGTCCTCATGAACTCATGCGAGATATACAGGATGACAGAGTAGCGAAGAGGTCTGGATTCTGTACTTCTCCCAAATGAGTCATATCCAACGCCGTAGTCGCTCTCGTGTGTCTGCTACTCCCATTCAGCAAGCAAGTAATAGCAAATTCATGTATAGCCTGATGCAAGCCTGGAAATTTGAATGTCGAAAGACGACAAGGCCGCTGCACTTCTCTCTCCTCTTCGATCTCGAAAGCAACCTCCCGCTCTTGCTCGACTCCCTCGAGAGCCGAGCTTCGGGTTGGGCTGGTGGGATGTTGCGATTGGTCTTGCCGGTGTTAAAGATTTCTCTTAAAACTATGCAGCTCGCTCATTTATGGGCCCGCAAGTCTGTAGGATCTTCGCGATATTCTGCTGTATAGGAAGGTCTTCGTCTCGAGCATAGGGTTCCATCGTCTTGGTCGCGCAAAAAAGCCGCGTTAGCAGTTCTCTTTCGACATCTTCAACCTTGTTATCCTGCTCTCTAGAGAGTTCTGGAGGCAGGACAACATGATTGAAGGTCAGTTCCAAGGTACGGTCAATTGTCATGACGGGGCCCTGTCAGATTGTGAGAAATATGTTAGAACGATGAAAATATGGATATTTTTGAATGGATGGGTAATATTATATGGGTTGACATAAAGAACAAATTCAAACATCCATATGTTTGAGGATGCTTGGGCGGTTTGTATTCGTTTCTTTCACCACTTTGAGGCCCTATGACATTTTGATAATGGACAGGCACAAGCTCGCTGCCGTTAATGCAATATGGCATTTTGAATAGTAGGTAGGATGGGCTGGTAAAAATTCTGAAAAAATTTGGATTTTGGCCTAACCGGCTGCTATACTTTGAGATTCTGAGGAGTCGTATTATTTTCTGAATAATGTGCTAATAAAATAAAATTCCTTCAAGCCAGGAATCATTGTTTCTTTGTCAAAATGCAATTATACGCCATATCAAACTGCCTAAGATTAGCAACACCATCTCGAAGAAGACGAAAAGACGGAGAAACCTACCTGCTCATTTGTCTGGCAAACCAGCACTCTCCGTCCACTGCCAGATTCTTTTGAAATATCAAACACTGTCTGATCATCCTTCGATCCCTGGTTATTTTTAGACTCATCAATAGCAAACCCCAAACTCCGACTTTTCTCAACAAGCGTCTTCCGCAACAACGCGCTCTTCTCGCCGATTCCACCCGCGAAAACCAATCCATCAACTTGACCATCAAGCTTAACAAAGTAATTTCCGATGAAGCCGAGCATGCGGTCTACGATGATGTCGAACGCGAGTTTGTGCTCGTGGGAGGGTGGGTTCTCGACTGCGATTTTGGAGAAGTCGGTTGTGCCTGTGAGGGCTTTCCAGCCGGATTGCTTGTTGAGTATGTCTTCAGCCTGTTGAGGTTTGGTTAGTTGTGATACTTCTTCAGAATTCGTGGGTGATCACGTACCATGCTAATATGCATCTCCTTGGTACTGGCAGGGCTTAGTTTTCCTGCTTCATTAGTGTAGTGGAACACGAGTCTGAAGCCAAGATTAGATGGTTGCTACGTGCTGAATTGATACAAAAAACTCACGATGGGTCAATCGATCCACTTCGCGTCGCACCTGGTAATCCAGCTAACGGGGTGAGACCCATTCTAACTTTCTGTTAGCAATGATCGCGCTTTTAATATACGTCATAGCTTCAGCTTACGATGTATCAACCGATTTCCCATCCTTGATGGCGCAAATAGAAGCACCGCTTCCGATATGCATCACAATCAGGTTAGTCTTCTCCTGCGGTTTGTTGAGGAATTCAGAAACAGAGCGGAGAATAAACGAGTAACTAATTCCGTGAAATCCATATTTCCGCAGTCCATGCGACCTGGCTACTTGCTGGTTGATTGGATATGTCTTCACGTGCTCGGGGAGCGATTGATGGAATGCGCTATCGAAGTAGGTGATATTTTTGAGGTTGGGAAAGTCATCTCGACATGCCCGGACTATTTCGAGGGCAGAGAAATTGTGTCTGGATTGTCAGAAAGCAACTCCTTGCTAGCTTCAATGCCGCACTTACAATGGTGCCAGGTCCTCAATTCCCTTCAACGTGTGGTAGGTCTCGTCATTAATCTCCACGGCTTCGGGATAATCCCCTCCATGTACAATCCGATGGCAGATATACGACAGGTCGTCACTGCTAGCGACTTCTGAAAGTTCCGGATCTGAGAAGCATCGTTTAAGCAGGGTCTTGAACGCATCCTGCGGCGTGCTCAGCTTGTCCTTCAGCTCTTCCTTGTGTGTTTGGTCGCCTTTGGTATATTTGAGTATCGGCGGGGGCGCTGTAATCCCGGAAATTTGCGCATTGGCGAGTTCTCGTGGTGGGAGTTCGAATGTATAGAAGGTGAGTTTGATAGAGGATGAACCGGCGTTGACGGAGAGGATTGATTTCGGCATTTTGAATTGAGATTGAATTATCGTGCTCGCACAGCAAAGTGAAAAGAGTAGTATTGATCTAGATTCAAGAGAAGAGCGCAAGAACATCCCGAGATCCGATATTTACTAATGAGTGGACTTAACCGCAGATTGACCTGTTTTATATGTATGACATCATAATCTTCATTCATTGTGACGTTAGCGGACATTAGAAACGCCCAGAGTATTTCAACAGAATCACTTCGCTAATAGTATCCGATGTCTGCTATATCTGCAATTGATCGTCCGTTTCGTTTATTTCTTTGTCTTTCTATTAATTGATCAACTATCACAATGCCGGGCGAAAACATCGACAGACCTAACCCGCAGCCACTGCCATCGCATATCCCGGATTCAATTAATGAGCTTCAAGTCAAACTCCAGAATACATGTCTAGATCAGTCGGCATGTGATTCTTTGTATAAATTCCGGAGAGCAGCGGCCTATATCGCTGCAGGTGCGCAACCTTCTAGATATTGAGTTGAACTGCATAACTAACCATGATTAGCGATGATCTTTCTCCAGGATAACACACTCTTGAAGCGGGATATAAAACATGAAGACATCAAGCCTAGACTATTGGGTAAGCAATTGACTTTTAACAGGATAGGCCTGTTGCTAACTTGTCTTAGGTCACTGGGGAACATGTCCCGGGCTGATCCTCGTCTATTCTCACCTAAACTATCTGATTAAGCAACTTGACCTTGATATGCTCTACGTTGTTGGACCCGGACATGGTGCACCGGGTATCTTGTCTTGTCTCTGGTTAGAAGGTTCCCTGGGACGATTCTATCCACACTACGCGAGAGATAAGGATGGCTTGCATAACCTTATCTCAACCTTTAGCACGACTGCTGGGTTACCAAGGTGGGTCTCATCAAATCGCGCTTTGGGGGGCAGACTAAACTGAACTGAATTTTGTAGTCATATCAACGCGGAGACTCCCGGAGCCATCCATGAAGGAGGTGAACTGGGATACGCCTTGTCTGTCTCCTTTGGTGCAGTCATGGATAACCCCAACCTCATCGTCACCTGTGTAGTCGGTGATGGCGAGGCAGAGACTGGACCAACTGCCACGTTAGCCCCCCTCCACAATGGTATGATTGGACGCCACTGACTAGTGCAGCTCATGGCACGGAATCAAGTACATCGACCCTGCAGAATCAGGAGCTGTGCTGCCCATCCTGCATCTGAACGGCTTCAAAATCAGCGAGCGAACCATCTTCGGCTGCATGGATGACAAGGAAATAACCGCCCTCTTCACCGGATACGGATATCAGGTACGCATTGTCGAGAATCTGGAGGACATCGATACAGATCTTCACTGCTCTATGCGCTGGGCGGTTGAAGAAATTCGCAAGATCCAGAATGCTGCGCGCTCGGGGCAGCCAATTATGAAACCCAGATGGCCGATTATCATCTTGCGGACACCAAAGGGCTGGTCGGGACCTAAGGAGCTGCATGGGAAGTTTATCGAGGGATCGTTCCATTCGCACCAAGTTCCTCTTCCCAACGTCCGTAAGGATAAGGAGGAGCTCAATGCTCTGCAAGTCTGGCTTCAAAACTACAAGCCTGAGGAACTCTTTACGGGGAACGGCGATGTGATTGACGAGATCAAATCCGTCATCCCAACTAGTGACTCGAAGAAGCTCGGGCAGCGCTTCGAAGCTTACAAGGGCTATGTGACTCCAAACCTCCCGGACTGGACACAATTCGGTGTACAGAAGGGCACACAGGAAAGTGCCATGAAGACCATTGGAAAGTTGATCGACAAGGTCTTCGTGCAGAACCCTCACAGTGTCCGGCTCTTCTCACCAGACGAACTGGAAAGCAACAAGTTGGATGCTGCCTTGGCACACTCGGGCCGGAATTTTCAATGGGACGAGTTTTCGAATGCCAAGGGTGGTCGTGTTATTGAAGTTCTTAGTGAGCATATGTGCCAGGGTTTCATGCAGGGGTACACTTTGACTGGACGCATTGGTATCTTCCCTTCGTATGAGAGCTTCCTTGGTATTGTTCATACGATGATGGTGCAATATGCCAAGTTTATGAAGATGGTATGATCCCCTTTCCCTGTATCCTTGGAGGGTAGAACGTAACTAACAAGCAACAGGCCCAAGAGACAAAATGGCACCAAGGCGTGGCTAGCATCAACTATATTGAAACCAGTACCTGGACTCGGCAGGAACACAATGGATTCTCCCACCAGAACCCTTCTTTCATTGGCGCTGTGCTCAAACTGAAGCCCATTGCTGCTCGTGTCTATCTGCCACCCGACGCCAACACCTTCCTGTCGACACTTCACCATTGTCTGAAATCCAAGAACTACATTAACCTCATGGTTGGTGCGAAGCAACCAACTCCCGTGTACTTGACACCCGAAGAGGCAGAGAACCACTGTCGTGCCGGTGCATCGATCTGGAAATTCTGCAGCACGGACAGCGGTCTCCGACCAGACGTTGTTCTTGTGGGAATTGGTGTCGAAGTGATGTTCGAGGTAATCTACGCAGCAGCCATCCTCCGCAAAAGAATTCCCGAGCTGCGCGTCCGGGTAATCAACGTGACAGATTTGATGATTCTGGACAACGAAGGCGCTCACCCTCACGCTCTTTCCAACGAGGCATTTGATAACATGTTCACTGAAGACAAGAACATCCACTTCAACTACCACGGTTATCCATCAGAACTGGAGGGACTTCTCTTCGGACGACCGCACATTGACCGGGCAACTATCGACGGCTACATGGAGGAAGGAAGCACCACGACACCGTTCGACATGATGCTTGCGAATCACACGTCTAGATTCCATGTGGCAAAGGCTGCCCTTCGCGGCGCTGCGAAGTGGAATGAGCATGCTCAACTTATGCATCATGAATTGGCTACCCAGTTGGATCAGGAGATCACTGATACCAAGAAGTATATTCTTGCAAACCGGCAAGGTACGTCGTTTCCATCCCGTTTTGTTGGATATAAGGCTGACAAGTACGTGCAGATCCTGAGGAAATGTATGACATGCCGTCTTTCGATTAGACAGGAGCTGTCTCGACATGTAGTTTTAGCAATACATTCTATAATAATGAAAATTCTTTGAATCCTGTCCTTCTGTCATAGCAATTCCCCATTTGTAACATCATCGATACCATCGTTCATCTTGTAGCTGCACGTGCCCGTTTCGACTGTCACCTTATCAGCCCGTGCCATTATGTCTTGAGTCTGAACCATCAAGTCCCAAAAGGGCAAATCTTCCAGACGCCATCAAGCACCGCTAGATAGATAACATTGAATATACAGCCTGGGACCATCCCTCGAAGCCAATGCAGTCCACAAACGCCCCATCGAAGACCCCGAAGTACAATGGTAATACCGGAGTATACCTCCACTACACATAATTTGAGAAAGCATTCATAATCCTATCTTTATTTATATAGATGCCGTAGCAAGCGGACTAAACTGGCCCCTACGACTCCTACCACGGCCCGAACGGCCCGCAAATCTGAAAGAACGGCAGTACAAAAGACCAACCAGATGAAAACGCAACCCTAACTCTCTTACGCAACATACTCTGAGCTGAGGCACCGTGATTTTCGATGCGATATTCGTAACCTTCTATCCTTGGCACCATATAAGGACTCTGGAGCCATCCCGGAAGAGCCGGACATTCCCCGTCCCTTGTTCGGTGTTATTATGAGATATTCACGCCTATGGCTTTTGTAGTAATATTCGAAGTTTTCATACCTGGACCAACATCAATATGGATCTCTGTCTGTGCAGTACTTAACCTAGTTTCGCAGAGCCCTTCCCAAATCGCCCCAGAACCTTTGTTTCATCGCCTTTTTCCTGTAACCTTCTGTGGGCCATTCTAGATCCCCAAAGCCATAAAAGTAGACCAGACTATCTATTACTTCTTTGACATAGGACCGGCCTAGACCCCTGGATCGTATATTGCAAATGCTTTTGCCAAAGAGATTTTTGGGAATTTTGTAATTACCATTTGGCACTTTACCCTTTGGTGTATTTGGCGCTGTGTTTCTTTATCTGAGTCTGCCAGATTTATCAGAGATGGTGATGTAGAGGTTTATTTGAGGCTAGGAAAGCCATTGGGTAATTGGAGAATGCCCGTTAGGCAATTTGCTACATAACCCCAACTTCTTTCTGCTGATAGTGCTAGACCTTGAATATGAAGCAGTAGAGCGCTGTCGTAGTGCTCGAGTCAGATGTCATACTATGTAGAATCGTGAGCCAGTCCGTGCAAATTCGTTAACACAAGTACTTCCTAAGGCGTTTCATATTAACAGACTACACCAAACACAAGAAGCTAGATCAACAAAGTCCCTCAAGTTTTAACAACTCAAGGCAAGAAAATCATGCTGATATCATCCGTCTTCGAGTTCATTAGCTTCGGCGGAGGATCCACACCCTGCGTCTTCAACCAACAATGCTGGTTTGTATAGTCTAGAGCATTGCACTGGGGCTCTTTGACACAGCTACCAAAACACGATTGATAAGAAGGAGAGCTTAAGTCCCGAAGAGTTGCGGTTGCAACATCTGAATCGCTGTTAGCGGCTGAAAAGAGACTATGTGTGAATATGTCCATAGGGATAACTCACGAACACAACAAAACTGCTTGTACTTTCTACCATTGCATTGGAAGATCTGTGTATGAGAAGAGGGGCCTTGAGAGTGCTTGGTCAGCGTCATTCTTGATTTTCAAGAGGGAGTTGAAATCATACACTGGGGATTGCACTCAACATCCGGCCCCGTGTCACAACAACAGCAACCACATTTATATCTTTTGGTTACTTTCCGAGCTGGACCCTGACACATTTTAGTAGACCCAGGCTGTCCAGAAAGCGCTAGTCCCTGAGCTTGCGCAATGGGAATCTCATTGAGGAAAGAGGTGACAAGGACAAAAATGCTGAGGGGCTCAAATAGTTTAACCATCTTGAAAAGAGAATGAATATAGCTAATACTAATGGTTTTGAAAAGAAACAGGATAAACAGGAGAGAAGAGAAACTGTCGTTTTATTGCCTCATGGTGTGGTGGAGACGCTGAGGGGTCCAGTTGGAATGAGGCAAGCGTGCGAAGTTTGTTGACCGACTCCATCAGCTGAACGCTGCATTTTCAGCTGAGGGGCTGCTTCGTAGAATAGCTAACGACCAGCTTGTAGATCTATGTTCCAACAGCACCATGCATGCATATGAGCTAGCGAAGGATGACATTCGTCCCGGGATACGCGAAGCTAATCCATTTCAACACATAGGATACGCAGCATACGGTATGAGTGATCGACTTCATCTAGTAGACTTCGTACTCGAGGATCGATCGGTTTGAATTCCCGTCAATTGAGCAAAGTTGTGTGGTAATCTCTACGGAGTACTCCGTACTGTATACTAAGATATCATAAAGTCTTGTCATCTGATACAGAAACGATCACAAATTTACATGTGAGAACTATCGGCTATTGATAATCATCTTCTGTTCTCGCTTTCAAAAAAAAATAAAAATAAAATAAAAACAACAGCAACTGCAATAAAGCGATATGTAAATCAACGTGAAATAAACATGAAATGACGAGGGGTTCCAAGCTCGAATGGCTTGGAATAGCGAGAATTACTCCCAGCCCGACAGCACTAGATAGAAAATAACACTGCGACTTTCAACCTTACTTCCACAGCGGGACGAATGCGGCAGTGCATCCTGTATTCGGATCGATGGAGGAGATTGGCCCTGGTTTGAAGACGCAACCGTGGCCAGTGACCCAGTTTGCGGCGTCATAATTGGCCTCTTCAGTCACAAAAACCTCCATGCACTCATCATGGTTCTTGATATTGGCTTGAAAGTCGCCAAGCGTGCTAGTATTGCAGAGGCCGCATCTGACCCTGAACGGCATGCCGCCACGGGTAACGACAGCGTTATCATTGGTGCACTGATCCGGGTTATCGGGCTGCTGTTGTGCTGGCTTGAAGCATCCGTCGCCACAGCCTTCGCAGGCACCGGAACAACCAACAGTGTGGGCACTGGCAAAGGTGGGCGCGTTGAGAGCCGGCGGTCCGTCGTTGATGCTCTGGTAGCAGATACCCCTTTTCTCATCGAAGTCGACACTGCTGCAAGAAGGGGAGGCCGAGCACAATTCCATGCATTCTTCCAGGGACGAAAGGATGTCCTTGGAGAGGACCTGTGTTCCATGGCGCTTCCGGCAGTCCATACGGAACGTCTGTGTGCATTGTGAGCCAACACTCACAGCACACCCGGGGATGGGACATGACTTACCTGACCATGCTAGCTAACGTAAATCTGACCGTTTGCTGCAGGGCGGCTTGTAGAGCAAAGGCGGGATGTCAAGCTCGGTGTTTGCGTCACAGGAGGGTCGGTGACAAAGGCATAGAGCTGGACACTATGCGCTGTCTGCGAAAACACGCCAAAGTCGTAGAGGACGCATTGGTCAGTCGAGGGATCGAAGGTAGCACTGTCAATCTTTAGCTGAGATACATTTGTAAATAAGGTCTATTACTCACGCCTGGCAGTTTGGTACACCGGAGCATTGATGAAGACAGTCCTCATGAGTGTAAACCTGAGGAAGGCCAACTGAGAGTGCCTGGGCATTGGCAGCTGTGCAACATTGTAAATAGTACCATGTGCCATCATATGATTCCCATACAGATCCGTCACCTGTCAAGCATTAGCGTATCTCGAGCAAAATCAATCCACGAGATCACAGAGTACATACTGTTAGGACACGAGATCTGCGTTGTCGGTTGAGGCGAGAGATTCTGTTGGTTTCTCGGAACAGCACAGTTACCAGCTGCGCCACCACCTGGACTTTCTGGTGCGCCACTTCCTGGAGCTGGCGGGAGATTGCCAGGGCTAATAGGAGCCCCGGGTGCACCACTGCCTGGTGGGGGGTTGGCAGGATTAATAGGAGTACCTCCAGGTGCACCGCTGCCTGGCGGAGGGTTAGCAGGGTTTATAGGGGAACCTCCGCCTCCCCCGGTAGAGGCCAAGTGCATGGATAACAACAACAGCGTTGTCGAAATTGATGGCACTAAGTATAACATCCGGTGCGAGTTTCAAATCCGTGACAAGCCCATCGTCGGTAGCGGACCTGCGGCTACGTTCACGGATTGCTTGAAGATGTGCAACAATAACAACGATTGCAAGTCTGCTGACTTCTGGGATCCGACTGGAAGTAAGACTTGCTACCTGTTTGATTCTCCGAATGAACCTGCCTATACCTCTGACACCAACTGGGCTGCGTATGTAGCGTAGGTGGCTTCAATGAGCTTCATAAGTGCGCGATATGGAGGAAGTGGTTCGAGTTGTTTTTTGCCCTGGCAGGAGAGTTGAGCTGAGCGATGTTGATTTCTTTTCTCTGAGACGGCCGTGCATCTGTTTTTGTTGATATCGAGAAACATGACTCCGAATAAACTATGTGTTAAGTATTACATGCACCAAATGAGTAGACATTGTAAAATCGCGAACTAAATCTTCTAAGTAGCCAAGTGAAATCTCTCGTGAGCTGGTGCTCTTGGGTGTCTTATGTCCTGGCCTTGTCGTTCAGCCTCGTGGCTTTAATATCAACATGGGGTAAAGGCATGGTCCAGTTGGCTACGCACTTCTTCGGCTCTTGTGTCTTATTTGGCATCTGACTTTGCTGCCATCGCTGACACACAACGTCGGTCCACTAGGGGAGATCGTCTGCGTCGAGGACATCTCTCAAGAGCTATATGCTTGCACAAATCACCGCTGATACAATTCCAAGATGACAGGCTTCGATGAATCCTGCTAAGGCACCGAGACCCAAAAAGGATAGCTAAAATGACAAAAGAACTTCCTAGGAAGAGGCGAATCAAGCAACGGGGGAATGCACTGGACTAAATAACTCATAAATGTGAGCCTGATACCGAATGCATCGACATCCACAGAAGGTTGTCACATCACATGCAGCCTCGTATAAGTGATATATGCCGGGACGGCGAAATCCCCAAGCTGCACGTCCGGCAGTGTCATCACACCAGAACCAACGCCAATACATAGCACGGCACACATGGCAATCCCAATACATGTACTCCGTACATAAAGCATCTCATATCAGCCTTACTCAAAAACAAGGCCAGTTTCACGTGGTTGTGAAACGCCCACTCCTGCCGATCCTGCGAAGAACACAATTTTGGGGCATCAGTCCCTACTGACTCTAACCATAAGTACCAGCAAAGCTGCTGCTCATTGAGATGCCCATTGAGAATGTTTATTGAAGAATGCTTATTGGAAAATAATGAGTGAGATTTGGTTGAATGAATTCCGAATCCTTTGAGTCGGTACTTCGTATTTCTATGTTGATCAGGCATCAGGGTATCGGATAGTCCGGATAAGACACCACAGCCAAGACGGCTTGGAGACTTCAGATTCCATGATGGATGAATAGACACTCCGATAGTGATCTATCAATTTCCCATCCACGGTAGATAAAAAAGAAAAGAAAAGAAAAAAAGCCATGCTCAGAGAGTATCATTGTAGAGATACCCGAACGTCAAAGACGGCAATGCTTGAAAGAAGACTGAGAGAACGCCTGACGCTAAGCCTGTTTGGGCGGAGTTTGCGAGAGGCCGAAACAGCGGGTGTAGATGCCGAAACGAGCCAATCAGAGCATCGTATTTGGTGCAATTTTTGAGGCTTGGATTTGTTTATAAGAATGCGTTTCTCGTTTTTGGACCCCAAATCACGGTTTCCTTTGTTTTGTTGATGGCTAAGCCCTGCTGGATGACTTGTAACTGGTTTTAGCGGCTTCCTTGTGGAGATTTATGTCTCGAGTGTTATAATAGCCGTTCAGCTCCCTCGCCATACTTTTTTCTACTCTTTTGCACACTACAAGGACTACACCAAATAGCAAAAATGTCCGACCAAGCCCTAACGCCGCAGCAGCAAATAGTGCAGCAGCTCCGGATTGGATGCCACGGCTATGTCGACGGATTCAACACGTCTTATGGTTACATGCCGTCCCTGGCGGCGGGTATCGTGTTCCTGGTACTCTTTGGTCTTTCGATGATTGTGCATACCGTGCAGTGCGTATGGAAGAGGACCTGGTGGACGATGGTGTTCACCGTGGGGTGCATGAGTATGTTTACCCTTTCCTCTAGTCTAGAGTCATGCTAATGAGCACAGCGGAGGTCATCGGCTGGGCCGGCCGTACATGGTCAAACCAATGCCCCTACAACTCCGACGCATTCCTAATGCAAATCTCAACCCTGATTATCGGTTAGCACGTCCCATCCCGAACATAGCGACACAAAAATCACAAAACTAACAAAACCTAGCGCCCACCTTCTTCACAGCCGGCATATACGTCCTCCTCGGCTCCTTCATCAAGCTCCTCGGCCGCGAGTCTTCCGTCCTCCCCCCCAGCCTGTACCTCTGGATCTTTTGCACCTGCGACGTCATCTCGCTCGTCGTACAAGCCATCGGCGGCGGCATGGCCTCCGCCGAAGCAGACAAGATCAACGGCAACACAGACCCGGGAACCTACACGATGGTCGCGGGAATCGTGTTTCAGCTCTTCTCGATAACGGTGTTTGTGGTCTGCGCTGCGGATTTTGTGCGAAGGACGATTAGTAAGGGGCTTTTGCATAGGGTTAGGGGATCGATTGTGCCGCTTTTTGCAGCGATGATTTTTAGTGTGTTGTGTGTTTATGTGAGGAGTATTTATCGGACGATTGAGCTGGCGCAGGGGTGGGATGGGTATTTAATTACGACGCAGAGGTATTTTATCGCATTGGATGGGGCGATGATGGTCGCTGCGGTTGCGGTGTTTAATGTTTTTCATCCCGGGTGGTTGTTGCCTAAGGTTGCGGGTGGGAGTGATTCGCAGCGGAAGATGCATTCTGAGGATGGGGGTGAGGAGATTGAGATGCGGTGATTTCTTTTGTTATTTATGACTGTCATATTGTTTCTTGTCTTATACCAGTGGTCATTTCAGCAGTACATGTATAGAATAATAGAAGGATGTCGATTCAATTCATTCAGTCTGTAAATTTTCTGTCGGCAGTGATAGTACATCAACACCCTAGGCATCATGCGAATGGCACCTATGGACGTCAAACTAATAAAACAGCATGCAAGAAATAAGTGACACCAACTCAGCTTCAGAATTGATGAAAAGGCCCCCGGAAGTTTTTTGTGGGTAAGGGAAAAAGGAAGAAAGGTTTCATATGAATACCAGCCTATACGCCATCAACAGCTTCAATCCACCCAAACGTCAACCCCACAGCCAAAGTCGCAACGGCCCAGATGGCTCCCCAAGCAGTCGCGCCCTCAACATTGGCGCCCTTAATCGTCCCCACAAGCTGAACAATCGTGCTCGCAACAATAAGAGTCGCTGAAGTGAACGTCCGCTGAATAAGCACTCGCGCCTTGGCGGGCAATGCTCCCCACGTCTTGCGATACAACGCACAAGCAAGGTACTCTCCCTGTTGCCACGATTTCTCGGAACCAGAGTCAGAGGTACTCGGTACACCGGCTGAGCTCACAAAAAGGAAGTCCTTTGCTGCCCAGCCAGCGGGGAGGAGGCTGAAGAACAGCACTGGAAGACCGGCGGGACCGGCATGTGTCAAGCTAATGTCCGGGATGTTTTCGAAGTGCACCACGAGTTGCGCCGGGAGCCAGGTCGCATAGCTGACGTACAGCGCAACGGTGAAAATAGAAGTCGCGGCAATTGTAGTGTAGATAGCCGTAGGACGGTCTTGGAGAATGTTCCGGTTGGACACTGCGCTGGACGGCGCGTGTGCGAGATCGTGAACAGAGGCTGAACGGCGAAAGAAGACAAACGGGATGGTGTTCGAGAATAGAGTAATAGCATAAGCAACTAGAATGGTCGTAGGACGAATTTTATAGAAGGAGGAAAGGAGGGTGTAAGTGGGGAGGTGGGTGAGGAAAATGAAAGACAGCACGTCGCGTCCTGTATTTACCAATCAGTTTCATTCTATCATAGGAACCAACGTGTTTATTTCAATCTGAAAAGGTAGAGGGCATACCATCATATCCAAGTACCCAAGCCAAACCAACCTCGACAGCTCTCCACGCCAACAAACCACCAATTTCCCACGGCGAGTCCAGGGGCTTGCTCACAGCTCGGAGTTCGTCCAGGTGAATTCCAGACGTAAGAAGGAAGAGCCCAGAGCTAAGAGCCAAGCTACTCAACACCACCAAAATAAACCGGACCGGCGAAGAAATTCGTGACTTCCCAGTCTGCGACTCCTTCGTAGGCCGCGTGCCCCCTGCCGAGGTAGACTTGGTGTTTTTCTTGTGAGACGGCATGTTGTTTGAGACTAGTATAAACCTCACAGGTCTGTGGCCTTGGTTAAGAAAAAGGAATTAGACATTTAGGAGGGAAGATCGAGTTGGAAAGTGGAAAAGTGGGAGGATAACAAACAGGGTGGAGCTGGCGCTGTTGGGCGGAAAACGTCAGATAGCTGCATGCGGGCGGTGAGCGTGTGATGATGTCACGCAGGTGTATTTAGTTAGTCTCGAAAACATACACATGTTCTATTCAAACCCTAAATATGTTCTAAGAAACAAAAACATTCAATTGGTATAAAAACAGATGTCAATATGTACGTGAATATGTAAAATAAGAAGAAGCAAGGAAAACAAACCAGGTATCTCTATCAGCAAGTACTGTACATCTAGTCGGAATCATCCTCGTCCTTTTCCCGCTCCATAACGGAGAACTCAACTGTGCCATTCCCACGGCCCTTGTGATCCAGCATGGCAATCTTGTACTTGCCCTGGTCCCAGAGGTCTTTTATGGTGAGTTCACGAGTCCGTCCCAGACTCTCGATGTCACCAATACGGTCCAAGGTTCCCTCAAGGTGCTTGTCGAAATTGTCCCAAGAGCAGATTTCACGAATCGCATGCTGCATGGGCACGGAGTCGGCGCGGACCATGGCGCGAGAATCAATGTGGAAGAGGTTATCATGGTCGTAGCTTTGAATGAAGTCGGCTCGTGTCATAATCTCCCGAGCCTCATGCAGTGGGATCTCTGGGAGAATATGGCCGATTTGAGCGTCATATCTCTTTTCCATCTCCTTTTCCTTGTCCACAAGTGCTTTGGCAAGGACCATGGCAGCAGAAGCATGTTTTTGCTCATCCATACTGCGCAGCAAACAGTCAGTCTCTAGCTCTGCTCTGGGCGTGGACATGTAGATCTGGGGCAACTTACACATCGTCATCCATTTCCATTCCAAGAATCCAGCACTTGTTGAGGAACCATGATTTTTCGGCTTCGCAAATGTTGTTGCAGAGTTTCATCATGTCTTCGGCTTTGGCAACTCTGTTCAAGTAAGACAATCGACCGCCCACCTTGTCATAGATGGCCTCGAGGGTTTCATAAGGCATATCCTGGCCAAAGTATTGTCTGCGGTAATTCCTCAAAGCTGCCATCGCCTTATCTTTTGGTAGGTCAGAGACAGGGATGACCTCCATCCGTGCCGCATAACGCTTCAAGCGTTCATACACCCAGTAATCGTCGCTGTTGAACACTATTTGCCATGTCAGAAACCTGCATCCGATCAACAAGGCTAGACGCTTACCTGTCGTAACCAATCCACTGGCCGCCCACTGTTCTGCCCGTTGCTGAATCATTTCAAGGAGATCTTGACCGTCATGGTCATCTCGCACTAGGTGAGTGGAATTCATGACAAGGACAAGTGGCGATTTCCCTGCACGGCGTCTGCTAAGACTGACTTTCTCTAATTTATTCAGGGCGCGTTCGATATCGAGCAAAGGAGTGGTATCGCGTGGTCCCCGGATGCTGAACAAACTGCCAATATAACTGCAAGTTCCAGTCAGTCTCTGATTTTGTTGACAACGAACCTATAAGTCAGGGGAATCGTACTCCTCATGATATTCAAAGTCTAATGCTTTTCCCAGTCTGACCCGGAAGATCTCCAGGTCACCATGAGCCTCAAACATGGCGACACCATCTCCGTTGATCTTGCGCATAGACTCGAGGATCATAGACGTCTTTCCGGTTCCCTTCTCACCGATGATCAGATAATAGTGACCCCCGGCCTGACCGGAGATGATCTTGTCCATTCTTGTTTGCTCATCACGAACAACCCAGTGCTCTTCGTGGTTATATTGATGCTTTCCGTACTCCACACCAGCAACCTCGAGAGCCGGATCACCCGGTTGAAAAGCATTGTCGATCTTTTCCAAGACCAGATGTTTGTAGTATCTATGGTATGAATACCCAGCTGCACTATTATCCGGTCAGTTTCTGCATCTACTATCTAATTTATTTAGCGCATACCCTAAGATTGCAATGGAAGCGGCGGCGGTAGCGGCAGCTTCAAACATCTTCCAGAGGGTTTGTTTGAACCCGAATTCGGGATGTCCGCCCTCCGCACTGAAGTCCCCGATATCCTGTGGAGGACTTGGCTGAGGTGGTTGGGCCTGGGTTTGTAGACGTCTGTAGAGATGGGCAGATAGACTGGTTCTATTTACCCTGAGCGGCCTGGAGAGTCCATAGATGGGTCGTTGAAGGTTGCGAGTCAACATTCTTCATACGTTTATTAAATTTTAATTGTCACAAATGACGGTGTACTGGTTCAATGTCGAATCTCAAGAGACAAGGAAATGTAAAAAAGGAGCGAGAAGTATGAAAGAATCAAGCGGTGACACGTTTTCCCAGCGATCTCACTGCCCAAAACACGTGGAACGAAAGAAAACCCGCGTGGGATGGATAAAAGAATAGTAAGAAAAGTAAAGAACGACAGCGAAAGGTATTAAGAACGGGTCCAGAGACGTCGAAGAGACTGGAGTATTGAGCAGAAGCCCCGTGTTGGCGCCACATATCTCCCCGGAGAAGCAAGCCGTGTGGCTTGCCCACACCGCCTCACCGGTATTCGGACATGGCTCTGGCCCTTCATAGTGTACAAGTATGTGTTTGTATCCATCCCACACTACATGTACTATGGTCACTACTGTATGCAATGCTTCGATTTCGTACTTAATATATCGTCAAGATCGGAGATCTGACACTGTTGACTCCACTACAATCCTGGCGCCTATCTGCCGGCTGCATGGAATCTCTGCGGAAAATATATTTCAACGGCGTCGGTGATCTTCGGCAGCTTGGCTAGAGCCCCGCGATGAACTAGCATAGTTATGCCATTGGGTTCATAAACTGTTCCCACAAATATGATGTGGCTGGCATACGTTGGGTATTGAGGGGTCTGTACCGGTAATGACAGGTTCGGGCCAGCGCTCTTTCTCCGGCCAAGCAATATCATCCACTCTGTAGCCACTAGCTAGCCATTGGTGAAAGGTATCGGTATTTCAACCATAACTATCTGAGAACAGCCAAGTCAATGTGTTTTTCTGTTGAGTGCACGTGCCACATATCATTCCACATCCAATTCAGTATGCTCGGTGCTGTGCCCTAGAAGTAAGACTACACTGTAGATAGCCATGTTGATTTTAGCTGTGTGAAGTTGAGAGAAATTGTAGAGTACCTGTATCGCTCTGCCTTGTAACATACAAGATATCAAGAAGTGTTCAGTGAACTGCATGTCACGTGTCTCCCCCTCTGGCCCGAGCTGTTCCGAGGGACTGCCGCAAATCCGAAATTTTCGCTCCGCCCCGGACGAGACAGAGTTGAGTGTGTGCCAATTATTCTCCAGCTTCCTCTTTTCCTCTTTTCCTCACCTATTCTTACTACGACATACTCTTCTACCTATCACCATCTCTCTATCCATTGCTTGTCTGGGGTACGGGGTTGGGTTCTTTTCTGTTTAAACAATTGCCCTTATATCCTTGTACCATATTTTCTTTTTTCAATTGTTCTTTTTTTCTTCTGATTTCCACGTTCCTTTCCTTTTCCTAGCTTAGACCCGCTGTCGTGAGACAGCTCTCTTTTTGTGAATACAATGGCCCAGACCAATGGCGACTTGGAGCACTCGAAAGGTATGAATTGCTTGGTCCTCGGACTTTCCTTAATCGAACCGGAGCGTATTAGACGGAGGATCAGATAAAGAAGGAAGACGAACTAACGAAAACAGAGGCTCCTTCCGCTCAGCCTGAGCAGGTCACCAATGGAGAGCAACCAGAGGGAGAGCAGGAAGATGGTGGTATGTACCCATTTTCACTCAGCCGTTTTGTGCGGGGATTGACAGAATTGCGCTTCTCCAGGTCTTTTCCAGATCATCGTGAAGCTTCCTCATGACCCTTACAAGATCCAGGTCATGGTCTCGAGTCAAGAGCAGGTTCAGGATGTCCGCCAATCGATCATCGAGCTGCCGGGTACCTTCCAGTACACTTGCTTCCACCTCGAATTCAATGGCAAGCGCATCAACGATTTCGTCGAACTGTCCGAGGTGCCGGATTTGAAGGCGGACTCGGAGATTGTCTTGGTGGAAGATCCGTATACTGAGAAGGAGGCTCGGATGCACATTGTGAGAACGCGGGAATTACTTGGAGCCGCGGGCGATCGCATCGATAACATCCAGGGTGTCAGTGCCGGTCTGTCCTTGCACGACTCCATCTCCGAGGCAGCCGTCGCTGCTGCGGAGAAGGAGCACTCTTTGTCCAACTATGACATCGCGGGCCCCTCGTCTCTGAAGACCATTCTTCCCAGAGAAGAGGCTCCTCTTCCCAAGACTATCAAGTCCATTTCACTATCTACATGGAACCCTCCTCCTTACCACCTCCGTCAAAAGGGCCACTTGCTCTACCTCCAGCTTACCACCAACGAGGGTGAACAGTTCCAGATTACTTCGCATGTCTCTGGTTTCTACGTGAACAAGTGCTCGAACGCCAAGTTTGACCCGTTGCCCAAGACTACCCCCAAGAAGGGTAGCGCCCATTCTCTGATTACCCTGATCTCTCAGTTGTCGCCCTCGTTCGAATCCGCCTTCCAGGAGCTGCAGGAGGCCAACAACAAGAAGGATCTCTTAACCACTTTCCCCTTCCAGAATGCCATTCCTAACAACCCATGGCTTGTTACTTCCCCATCCGCCAATGCGAACGCCCACCAGCCCGACATTACCCGCTCCCAGGAGAACTATCTCATTGCTGGGGTGGACAATGCCGAAACTCTGCGTGACTGGAACGAGGAGTTCCAGACCACCCGGGAGCTTCCCCGCGATACTGTTCAAGATCGCGTCTTCAGAGAGCGTCTGACCTCCAAATTGTTCGCGGACTACAACGAGGCCGCCGCCCGAGGTGCTGTCTTGGTTGCCCGGGGTGAAGTCCCACCATTGAACCCTACTGAGGAGCGGGACGCTCAGATCTTCGTGTACAACAACATCTTCTACTCCTTCGGTGCTGATGGTGTCGGTACCTTCACCTCTGAGGGCGGCGATGAAGCCGCCCGCGTCGCTGTTGGCAAGGACGTTCTGGGTATCAAGGCTGTGAACCAGCTCGACATCAACGGCTTGTTCACCCCGGGGACCGTGGTCGTTGACTACATGGGCAAGCGTATCGTCGGCCAGAGCATTGTTCCTGGTATCTTCAAGCAACGGGAGCCTGGTGAGCACCAGATCGACTACGGTGGTGTGGAAGGCAAAGACGTCGTTGCGACGCACCCCGATTTCAAGCCCGTCTTCGAGAAGCTGTCCAAGTCTCTCCGTATCAAACAGCATGCCGTTTGGGACAAAGAGAACACCCGTCACGACCTCGAAGGCAGTGTCGAGACCAAGGGCCTTCTGGGCACCGATGGCAGGAAGTACGTGCTTGACCTGTACCGTGTGACTCCTCTCGACGTCTCGTGGCAGGAAGAAGAAGGCAACGATGCCTATCCTCATCAAATGTCTGTCTTGAGATTGGAACTCGTTGAATCGTACTGGAGGCACAAGATGAGCCAGTACGTGAAGGCCGAGGTTGAAACCCGTCGCAAGGAGAAGGAGGCTGCCAAGGCTGAGAACTCCGAATCGAAGGAGGAGGGTGAGAAAACTGAAGAGCAGCCGGAGCAAGAGCGTGTTGATATCTCCGGGTTCAACCTCGCCCTTAACCCCGACGTTTTTAGCGGCCAGGTTCCTCAGACCGCCGAAGAGAAGGAGCAGTGGGCCCAGGATGAGAAGGAGGTTCGCGAAACCTGCGACTTCTTGCGTACGAAGGTCATTCCCGAGCTTGTCCAAGACCTCCACGATGGAGATGTTGGCTTCCCCATGGACGGTCAGTCGGTTAGCCAGCTCTTGCACAAGCGCGGCATCAACATCCGCTACCTCGGCAAGGTCGCTCAACTGTCCAAGGATAAGGGACCTCGCCTGAATGCTCTTACCACTCTCGTGGTCCAGGAGATGATCACCCGTGCATTCAAGCACGTTGCAAACCGCTACCTCCGTAACGTTCCCGCACCTTTCACTGGGTCGTGTGCTGCTCATCTGCTGAACTGCCTTCTTGGCGCCGACGTGAACGCCAGCCCCCGCGCCGACATTGACAAGTCGCTGCGGGAGATCTACCCCGAGGGTGACTTCTCGTTCGAGAAGCTTGACCCGGCTACTCTCCAGGCCGAGATCGAGAAGCAGGTAAAGATTCGCTACCGCTTTAACTTGGAGTCTGACTGGTTCAACTCCCTGAGACATCTTCAGCTACTCCGTGACATCTCCAACAGACTTGGTCTCCAATTGGGTGCTCGTGAATTTGCATTCACCAAGTCTCAGTTGCCCGTGGTTCCCCAGGCCGTCAACGGTGCCAACGGTGTCACTGAAGAGGCTAAGAGCAGCAGCAAGAAGAAGAAGAAGGGTGGTGACTCGGTTAACGCCGCAAACCGCCCCGCAGCGGCCAACAAGCCCGCTGTCACGTTTGTGCCTGACGACATCGTCAACATCGTGCCCCTGGTTAAGGATGCTTCTCCCCGAAGCTCGCTTGCCGAGGAAGCCTTGGAGGCTGGACGTATCTCTCTCATGCAAAACCAGAAGCAATTGGGCCAGGAGCTCATTCTGGAGTCCTTGTCTTTGCACGAGCAGATCTACGGTATCCTGCACCCCGAGGTTGCCAAGCTCTACCACCAGCTGTCGATGCTGTACTACCAGACCGACGAGAAGGAGGCCGCTGTTGAGTTGGCCCGTAAGTCGGTCATTGTCACCGAACGCACCCTGGGTGTTGACTCGCACGACACCATCTTGGCCTACCTCAACCTCTCCCTCTTCGAGCATGCCTCTGGCAACACCAAGACAGCTCTCGCCTACATCAGACACGCGATGGACCTGTGGAAGATCATCTACGGAGCAAGTCACCCCGACTCGATTACCACCATGAACAACGCTGCCGTGATGCTCCAGCACCTCAAGCAGTACTCTGACTCTCGCAAGTGGTTTGAGGCCTCCCTTTCGGTCTGCGAGGAGCTCTTCGGCAAGCAGTCCATCAACACCGCCACCATCCTCTTCCAGTTGGCCCAAGCCCTGGCTCTTGACCAGGACTCCAAGGGTGCCGTTGTCAAGATGCGCGAGGCCTACAACATCTTCCTCGGCCAGCTCGGTCCCAACGATCGCAACACCAAGGAGGCCGAGACCTGGTTGGAGCAGCTCACCCAGAATGCCGTCTCTATCGCCAAGCACGCCAAGGACATCCAGGCCCGTCGTCTGCGCCGCATCAACATGGCCTCTCGCGTGTCATCTCTTGGTACCATGGTCCAGCCTCAGGTCGGCCAGTCTGCCTCTCAGACGGCTGGTGTTGGTGGTTCTGGAATGGATGCTCGGAGCATTGATGAGCTGATGAAGTTCATTGAGGGTGGTGATGCCGGTGCTACTCGCAACAAGCAGAAGAAGCGTGCTGCTGCCAATAACCCCAAGCTCCGCGGCTCGAAAAAGTCCTCTGAATAAAGGGTGAAAAATGAAAATAATCTAGCCCAAAAAACACATTGACGGAAAAAATTTACGTTTTGACGACGATTTGATGTTTTGACCTCCAAAAAAAAATGACGATATAAAATCAGATACAGAAAAGAAACGCGACGAAAAAAGAACATAGGTTTTATTTTTCTTTTCACTTCGGTTTTTGTTTTGAAGCAGTATATTTCAGTGTCATGACCCGGACAAGCAGGGCATCTGTATTGTAGACGGACTCTCTACTCATCTTCATGTTTGGCGATTTTTTTTTTATTTTTATTTTATGACTTCTCTCAATGGTGTCCATTGCAGTGCATAGCAGGTTGGGCGATTTTTGGTACTTAGGTATGCTCTATGTACTATATATGACGGTGATTACTAGACATGCATCTACGATCAATCTGTGTTTAACTAAGTATTAGCACTTCGTTATATCCTTGTAGTCTTGTGCTCTGAAGTATATACTTGTAATAGTAATGGTGAAGAGCGCCTTACCGCTTTCACCTAGACCGCCTGCCCCAATGTTTACATCTCGCCTTGTTTTGCTCCGCGGATTCCTCTCATCACCTTAAGTACTACTGTAGTATCTTATGGCGCATTCCCGCCAGTGTATTTGGTTTTATTTGGTTTCTTTTTGTCTCTTTTTGGTTGCATTTTAGCAATTGCATTTTATTTTGCTTCAATACTTTGGCATATCTTGCAGACGTTGGCGTCTGTCGCTGCAGCGCGGTGGTCTGGTGATAAGTCGCTCAAGATGGGTCATTGGTGAACTGAGTGGCAGGTAGGACTTCAGGACACATTGCGATCATTCGCGAACATGAGCGATATACGACCGACCGCGAAATGGGCAAATCGCATGCTCCGCCCCTTGACATCCATCTACCGCCGATTAGAAAAACACCAGGAAAACCTCCACACCGTCCCTAACTCGAGGATCCTCAAGGAACGGACCGACTGCCTTCCTGCTAACACTGGCAATGACTCTGGCTCTAGCTCGCGCGGGTCATCGAAAGCCCCTACTACGACGGCAACGGATGCGGAACGAGATTCGGGCTCAGACGGCGAAGCGGACGATCCTGCCTGGGTCCCGGGAAAACCTGAAGGGCGGAAAATTCGACATAATTACTCGAGTCGAGGGAAGCGCAGTGCTAGTCGGGGTGGGAGGAGACGGAGTCGAATGTCGATTCGCAGCCCTGAGGTGCAGAGGACGTTACCTGGGGCGATTGAGATCGCGACACCATTGCTCGCTGGGAAACAAGCGAGGGGAGGGTTATTAGGCGAGACGTCTGCGCGCAGGCGATTGTTTCGGGATGTTTCGTCGATGACGGAGGATTTGGTTGTTGAGGATGCGCGTAAGGCGACACGGCCTTATAGCGTCGCTGCTAGCTATGGGTATAGCGGGTCATGGAGGGAGGCACTGGATCGATCTGGTGATCCGGGGCTTGCTGAGATTGCGCGTCTTTTGGATCGGTTATTTTTGACTTTCTTGCATAATACCAGGATACATGCTACTGCATCTTTATCGAAGCAAAAGAGTCATGGGGCTCGGCCGTTGCTATCAATGACTGTGCGGCGGTTACCGGAATTCATCGCAGAGGAGCAAATGGCTCAGGATGAAGCGGAAGAAGACGGTGACGCGGATATGTGTGATGCATACTTTACGGAACTCGAAGCTCACTATGCACCTAGTGGGAATAGCTGGAAACCGCTCCGTGAAGCCGTACGCGCACAAGGAATCTATCTGGTCTCGGAGATGCTACAGAAGGATTGTATCACCAAGCATATCGTTTGCCGATTGTTGGAGGAGTGCATGAACAATCAGGAACATGACGCTTTTGAATCATTATTGTCCAAATTTCTATGTACTATGGATGAGACGTATGACTGTCCGACAGGATTTGATTCTGTCATCTCATCCAGTTCTCGCGAAGACCCAGTTCAGTTACTGGCTACCTACTGTTCACGATTTCCCGGACGTCGGTCTTTTGTTCATGAGGAGCTGGCAAAGCTTCTTACCCGCAAAGCCGTGCCAGCCGAATGGATGGTGACTGGGCAGTGGAAGAAGTATGTGGATGCCGCGATTCGGTCAATATCTACGGAGGCAGATGATTCGGTGGCTGCGGCTCATCTGCTCAACGCCGTGGTTCTTTCAGCCAGCGGTGTTTTCCCAGGTATGCATAAGACGAGTGTGGGATGCGAGGATCAGCTCTGTCCGGTTCCAGTCAAGGACGCCCTCAGCAACCTCACGGTGAGTCTGATCACCGCGCTGTGCGGGATGTACCTGGCGCGGTCCCGTTCTTCCACGGCCGGGGCTGAGCCGGAAGGCGTTGGTATGAGGGTGAGAGCCATCGTGGGATCCCTCGCAGTCACGGTACAACAAGAGATAGAAATCCGGTCTTCGCCTGAAGTCGAGTTCTCGGCATTCCATTCTCTGCGCCGAGGCTGCATCTTGCTTGGCGAGCGCTTACTTCAGTGTGATGAGACCTCATATGACACCTTCACACCCAGTAGCCAAGAACCCCGCAACATGGACGCATTCTATGTCTCACTCTCATCACAGTCAGAAGTGACCAAAGAGTTGGCAGTCTTGACTCGACAGGTCTTTCGCTGTTGCGAGCGCGTGCACGGAAGTGATGACCAGCCAGGTACATCTCCAATGGTACGTGCCAAGATCGAGCAGCTGGCTGAGTTTAGCGAAGAGCATGGACTCTCCACGTTCCTCGGCAAGGTAGCTGTGGAGACTGCGATGCAGCTTGCTGAGGCGACGGTGTATCCGGATGATCATGTATGGGCAGCGGAGATTCAGGAACGGGTTGTCACCAGACAGCAGGAGCTATCGCACAGGACAAGGATCTATCATTCAGAATCAGAAGACGACGATGACGGGCCTGGGCTGTATCGCTGGGAAGAGAGTATTGAGGAATGGGTTGCGAGAACACCCAAATCCAAGAGCAAATCAGTTGATTTCGCGCAGATTTCTCCAGTGGAGACTGATCTGGACAGCCAACCCTCTTCCCCTGCATTGTCTGCCAGCGTATCTGCATCCTCGCAGTCCGATGAGGGTCCTGCATCCAGCGTGACATCCGCATACTCGCTACCAGTCAAGAGGGCAATCCCCGGCCGAGGGGAGCCGTCGCGATCACCGAAAAGACTCCGATCAACAGCCTGGAGGTCGCGTGACGATCCGATACAGCAGACACCAGCCATTCCTCCGACACCGGCGACCTCGGACGATAGCGACAGCGACGATGACTGGGAAGAATACGGCTATCGCCCACGCAGACGCGGCATGTTGGATTCATGGATGCAGGAACGGCCCCTACGACGACGAATGAGTGTACCCGAAGGACGGCAATCCGTGGGATTGCAACGGATGCTCGAGGTAGCAATTACACATAAACGACGAACAAGATCACCAAACATGGGGGGGAGGGGCACAAACAAGCCTCAAGAGGGTTCTTCGTATCCCGCTGATCGACGGCTACAACCTCGCCGACCGGGGCGAACTCCATGGCGAACATCTAGCGGGAGTGAATGTGGTTCGTCGTCTGCTGGGACCACCGAGAATGCTTCGCCGGTGGGCACTACGATCATCCCACGGACACCGGCAATGATCCCGATGGTACCGTGGTCGGCGGGAGATGATAGCGATGATGAGCTTAGCTTTCTTTAGTTTTTTTCTTTTCTTTTCTTTTCTTTTTTTTTTTTTTTTTTTTTTTTTTTTTTTTTTTTTTCTGATCTTATTTCTCCGATTGGAACATTGCATGGAGTTGGATGGGGTGGGCATTGTTGGCATATTGGCATTGTACTCCGTATTTGCATTTTGGTACGACAAAGATACCCATTCTTAGAATAGACTTTTCAGGTAAACAGAATAACTCCTTCATCAGTGATTGATTGAACGTGTGGCATTGATTAGCATAAAGTGCATTCATCAATTGTGCATTGGGGGGTTTCATGTAGAGCGCGAGAGATAAAGGCATTGTCTAGCAAGCGGTACAGCATATGGCACGGGTACAGCATTGCCCTCATCTATGTCATGGTAGCCCCAGTAGAGATCTTTGTGTGTATCCATACTCTGTGCAGTATGATTAAGTTCAGTCAGTGTTTCAGATACTAGCGCCAATAGATGCCCGAATAATAGCCATCGGAGAATAGCATTTCGACCTGTGCGTATACAGAAGAACGTATTGAAGAATCTTTACCCAGGTTATTTTCTGCGGGTATAATTGGACGCAAGGGCATGTTTCAGAGATACACAGCGCCTAGCGGGTGGCCAAGTCCCAGCGCCAAGTAGTTGAGAGTGTCCTATGAGAGCTGATCATCCCGTTCTACTGAACTTTTCTCCTGACTTTTTGACCCGCCCCTAAAGAGGGAATTATTCAGCTCTTCCCCCACTCTCTTCCTCTGACTCTCTTACACACTCTCTTTTACACACCTACTCTCTACTCTCTCTTAACTACACTCTCTTAACGGCTCTCCCCCCTACAAAAGCTCTTTGACAGAGCTGATCCTTCTTTTTGTTTTTGTCTATCAATGGTATTCTCCTGAGGAGATCGATTATTGCATGAGACCTGTCTATTTACTGTCTCGCATTCCTTAAGGACCCCCAAGTCAAACCCTTTCCTCGTTAACCTACCTACACTCTTTGGCAGAGCTGGTCTCGCCTCTACTTGAATCTCCAACTCAGTCGTTCAATCGTTCAATCGTTCAATCGTTATACCTCCAACATGGACATCACACCACGCAGCTCAGGCAACTCCTGGGCCATCCATGAAGCCCTCAATGATGACCTCGCTCGTACCACCGTCCTCGTTCTCGGTCTCATGGCCGCCTTTGTCTACATCTGGCAACTGTCCCATAGCTTCTCTGCTCACCTCCGCCGTCTCGCCAGTTTCTCCAACGACCGCCAACGCTACTTTCTCTCGCCCGATAGCACCCTCTCCAAGATCAAGAACCACATTGTCTACGCGCCGCTGATCCGTGGGCGTCATAATCGCGAGTTCCAGCTCTCGCGTGCTGTCAACTTTGGCACGCTGCCGTCGCGGTTCCATATGTTCCTTATTGTCGGGATTGTGGTGATGAATGTCGCGGTTTGTGTGGTTACCGTTCCGTACGGTAGCGATGAGCATACCGTCTCGGGCATGGTGAGAAACCGGACTGGTACCATGGCCACTGTCAATCTCATGGCGCTGGTGCTGATGGCTGGTCGCAATAACCCCCTAATCACCTTGCTTCGGGTGCCGTTTGATACCTGGAACTTGTTACATCGGTGGCTGGGGCGCATTGTCGTGCTTGAAGCCATTGCGCATACATTCGCTTGGGCCATTCCGGAGGCGAACCAGGCAGGCTGGGATATGGTGGGGATGGTGTTTGGGATGAGTAACTTTATGCTGGCTGGCTTGGTGGCGGCCTGTGCCTTTACCGGTCTCATGGTGCACTCTCCCTCACCAATTCGTCATGCCTTTTACGAGACATTCCTTCATCTGCACATTGCCATGGCTGCTGTTGCCTTTGGTTTCTTGTGGGTTCACCTGAAGGGCTTGCCGGCGCAGAACTATCTTTTGGTTGCTATCGTTTTCTGGGCTTTGGAGGTAAGCATCCCCTAAAAGCATCATTTGATAAATAGATATTGACAATGTTATCTCAGCGAGCTACACGTCTTGTCCGCATCGTCTACCGCAACTGCGGCCGCAAACTCACCACCGCAGTCGTCGAGGCCCTCCCAGGTGACGCCCTGCGCATCACCCTCAACCTCGCCCGCCCGTGGACCTTCGAACCCGGTCAACACATCTATCTCTACATCCCCGCTGTCGGCTGGTGGACGGCCCACCCCTTCTCCGTCGCCTGGAGCGAATCCTCCGAAGTCATCACCGACGAAAAGGGCATCCCCATGACCCACCAAGACGCCCTCAGCACTCACCAAAAAACCTCCCTCTCCCTCCTCGTCCGCCGCCGCACAGGCTTCACCGACAAACTCTTCACCCGCGCCCAGAACGGCATGGACTCTCGCGTCACCCTCAAAGCCTTTGCCGAAGGCCCCTACGGCAGCATCCACTCCCTTGACTCCTACGGCACTGTCCTCCTCTTCGCCGGCGGTGTCGGCATCACCCATCACGTCCCTTTCATCCGCCACCTGGTCCAGGGCTACGCCGACGGTACCGTGGCCGCCCGTCGCGTGACCCTTGTCTGGATCATCCAGTCCCCCGAACACCTCGAGTGGATCCGGCCCTGGATGACAAGTATCCTGGCGATGGACCGCCGGCGCGAAGTTCTGCGCATCATGCTGTTCATCACGCGGCCGCGCAATACCAAGGAAATCCAGAGCCCCAGCGCCACGGTGCAGATGTTCCCTGGCCGGCCAAACGTGGACACTCTGGTGGGCATGGAAGCGGAGAACCAAGTCGGTGCTATGGGAGTGCTGGTTTGTGGAAATGGGGGGTTGAGTGATGATGTGCGCAAGGTGTGTCGGAAGAGGCAGGATGGGTCAAACATTGACTATATCGAGGAGAGCTTTACTTGGTAGTGGCGGTGTACTGGATGTGTTTGTATTCCTTCGTTTAGTTAAAATTGTCCAATTGCAGCATTTGGGTTATGATTCATGATGAGCTTGTTTCGTGTGTCATGTTTTGCATTCTGGGTAATATGGTACATATCGGTATCAGTACATACCGCATTCTTTATTCAATCCTGCATTTCAGCTCATCATTCGATCTTCTCGCGCAAGAATGATGCCTATACTCTGTACATATTTGATAGTTGGGCCCATCTGTTACTTGCAATGGAACTCCCCCAAAGTGATCAGTTCCCGTAACCCTGTATATATCCTAAATGATGAAAGTCGAGATGGATTGATAGTTGGTCCGATTACTGAGGCCGGCAGATCCCTCATATACGGACACACACTCTCTTTTAGATAGCTAAGCACTCATTCTACCATCTATGGTGTCTATAGATATCAATGTCACCCTCCGTGTAATCTAAATATCCTCTTCAAATATAGCCTCGGATAATCGACTCCCCAACTTCCCCGACTCGGAGTTTAACCGCCTTATTGGTTAGTCCGTTTCACTAAACAAGTCATGATCACGTGAAATCACTAAAAGAAACCCTGATATCTTGGATCAACCTTGTATTCAGCCCTGTCTTCTATATAAGAACATTTTATCGATTATTCTTCTATAGCCATCTTTAGTGAAATAATGCGACCATGGCAGATCCGCAAAATGTCAATGTCGAATTCTTCAGAGAAATCGTATACTCCCAACAATTCAAAATCCTCAATGACCTCATCTACAACCCCGACGCAACAGTCGACAATGCCCTAGACCAAATCACCGATCTGACACTGTCCGCCCACACAGCCCCTATTGAGGAGGAGTATTTCACGCCCGGGAATGTCGACTACTATCTCTCCCTTGCCTTGATGGAGCATGTCTAGAATTTGGAGCCAGTCAAGTAGAAAAGGCTGGTTGAGTTCATACACGCGCTTCAGAAGCGCACGGCACGGGATCCCTCGACTGGTGATCCACTTACAGTACAGGGACAAATTCTCTGGACAGATCTGCCGTCTTTCGGGTATACTGAATATGAAACCTGGGACTCGAACGGGGGTGATTATACAGGTATAGCTCAATACCTTCTTCTTGTCTTTACTCTGGCTAATGAAGAGCACAGTCTTTTGGTTTCTCGACCTGCAAGGTGGGTCAAGACAGCGAATGATGAACGACAACGCATTCGTGACCCAATTCACCCAAGCCACACATATAAGCTACAATCCCCCAGACCAAGGATTCAGCATCCACCGCTTGGACAGATCCCTCCGGGCAATCATGACACTACGACTTGGTCTCGAGAACGACAAAGTTCCCATGGAGACGCTATTCAAGACAGCTGTCATGGAGGTCGCGTGTGTGTGGTTCATGTATGCCGCGGACCGGCTGTGAGATAATGTTCGGTACGGGCGGACTTATTCGGGAGACTTTGCTATGCGGCCGGGTTGTAAGCGGTTCAAGAAGAGGAAGTGAAGGGGTTATGAACGGGGGCGATGGGATGCTTGGGTGGAGAGGTTGAGAGATGCGAGAGCGGTTTGTAATGATGAGAGGATGAGGGGCGTTATTGGGGAGGCTTTGGGGTGTGTTTCGCGGACGATGAGTAGATGTGACTGAATACCCTTGGCTTGATCGTGGTGTCCTATCCGATGCGCAATTTTGGGCCAGATTGGACGATTCTTGGTGATTTCATTCAACGTTCGTGCTTGATACGTACAACGTTCATTCTTGCCTTGGATACATACGTACAATGTAAATTGTTTTCATTATGCTTGTATTTTTAAGCACCTTGTCGGCTTAGAAATCAATAGCGGGGTTGATACGATGGCATCATATATAACGTCTCCGTCTCCAACCTACACTTCAATCAACGGATTGATATCTCACCGTCCTATTCTGAAAAAGAAAAGAAAAAAAAAAAAGAAAGAAAGAAAGAAAGAAAAACCACCCAAAATGAGCCAACCTGACATTACCCTCTACACCGCGCAGACTCCCAATGGAATCAAAATCTCCATTGCGCTCGAGGAGCTGGGGTACGCCATCCCCTACTCAATACCATATATGTGCGATATACTAACCGGCGCAGCCTCCCCTACAAAGTCCAAAAGATTGACATCAGCAAGAACACCCAAAAAGAACCCTGGTTCCTGTCCATAAACCCCAATGGCCGCATCCCCGCCCTAACAGACACTCTCGACAACCAACCCATCCACCTCTTCGAATCCGGCAGTATTCTGCAATACCTCATCGAGCAGTACGACAAGGACCACAAGATCTCCTACCCGCAGGGCACACCCGAGTCCTACGCAGTCAACAACTGGCTGTTCTACCAGAATGCCGGCGTGGGACCGATGCAGGGCCAAGCAAATCATTTCTCGCGCTATGCGCCGGAGCATATTCCCTACGGTGTTACGCGGTATGTTAATGAGACGAGGAGGCTGTACAGCGTGCTTGATCAGCATCTATCTACCTCGAAGTCGGGGTATTTGGTTGGGGACCGCGTGACGATTGCGGATATCTCGCATTGGGGGTGGGTTGCGGCGGCTGGGTGGGCAGGTGTTGATATTGACGAGTTTCCGCACTTGAAGGCGTGGGAGGAGAGGATGGCCGCTAGGGAGAGTGTTGAGAAGGGGAGGCATGTGCCGGACAAGCACACGGTTAAGGACCTGTTGAAGAATAAAGAGGAGATGGAGAAGAAGGCGGAGGAAGCGAGGGCATGGATCCAGGAGGGCATGAAGAAGGATGCGAAAGCCTAGATTATTAGTCTGCCATGTTCTGCAATTTAATGCAACTCGTTTGAGCAATTGTATCATGATAAGTGTTCCGTAGTAGAAATGTGATGGTAGTTAACTTAGGACGCTTAGTCAGATCACGTGTAACTTGCCACATGCTCCATTTTCTCCGCGAGTAACCAGCTGAAGTCCTTGACTACCAACATCTCTTTGTATTTTTTCGCGTCAAAGAACGATAAAATGGCCTGGCGCAACCAAGGAATCACTGGTTCTAACAACATCCCCCTAGGTCCTCGTCGACGTTTTGGCGATGACGGCCAGGAAGACGACAGTCGCACCGCGACGCCCACATCCGTCGGGGATACCAGCTTCAAGCGAGGCAGGAGCCCTGTTCGAGGTATGTCTTTGTTACCTTCCCCCGCTCGCCAAGTAAAATATTAATACGGTCTAGCCGAACCCCCTATGGATGGCGTGAAGAAGCGCAAGAAGCGTAACCGTTGGGGTGATGCCCAGGAGAACAAAGCGGCCGGTCTCATGGGTCTTCCGACCATGATCATGGCCAACTTCACCAACGAACAGTTGGAGGCTTATACTCTGCATCTGCGGATTGAAGAAATCAGCCAGAAGCTGAGGATTAACGATGTCGTGCCGGCAGATGGTGATAGGTGGGTTCTCCTTGTGTTGCCAGACAGCGCGTTGATGATAACTAACATTATGACTGTGCAGATCTCCCTCGCCTCCTCCCCAATACGATAACTTCGGAAGACGTGTAAACACTAGGGAATACCGTTACCGCAAGCGTCTCGAAGATGAGCGCCACAAACTGGTCGACAAGGCCATGAAGTCTATTCCTAACTACCATCCGCCATCTGACTACAGACGTCCTACTAAGACCCAGGAGAAGGTCTATGTGCCTGTGAATGATTATCCAGAGATTAACTTCAGTATGATAACTAACCCTCTAACTCCTAACCTGCTGCATCATTATGTCTCATTTGCTCTTGCTCGAGTCGAGCCCATGAGGATAGTGCTCTCCTTCATACATGGCTCGTTTCTTGCTAACCCTTTTGCTTGCTTTTTTTGCTTTCTTGCTCCACTGATATGACAATACTCGATACTAACACTAGCCTCTCTTTTTTCTTTGCTACTTTAAAGTTGGCTTACTTATAGGTCCTCGTGGTAACACGCTGAAGAAAATGGAGACCGAATCTCTTGCCAAGATTGCGATTCGTGGCAAAGGCTCCGTCAAGGAAGGAAAGGGTCGATCTGACGCCGCTCACGCTAGCAACCAGGAAGAAGATCTTCACTGCTTAATTATGGCAGACACTGAAGAAAAGGTCAATAAGGCCAAGAAGTTGATTCACAACGTTATCGAGACGGTCCGTATTCTTCTTTCTCCGGAAGTATGTCGGATATTGCTAACGATATACGACAAACAGGCTGCCTCTATTCCTGAGGGCCAGAACGAGCTCAAGCGGAATCAGCTTCGAGAGCTCGCCGCTCTTAACGGTACTCTTCGCGACGATGAGAATCAGGCTTGCCAAAACTGTAGGTTTCCTTTATTGACATATTCGAATCGTGCTAATGTCGTAGGTGGGCAAATCGGTCATCGTAAATATGACTGCCCTGAGCAGCGTAACTTCACCGCCAACATTATCTGTCGTGTCTGTGGTAACGCTGGTCACATGGCCCGTGACTGTCCTGACCGCCAGAGAGGCAGCGACTGGCGCAACAACGGCATCAGCCGCAGTGGCCCTAGAGCTATTGGCGCTGGTGATGCCGTCGACCGGGAGATGGAACAACTCATGCACGAACTCTCTGGTGGCGCCCCTGGTGAAGAGGCACCTCGCCGTATTGAAGCCGGCCCTGGCGAAGGCTATGATGACCGTGACATGAAGCCCTGGCAACAGCGTGGTCCTCCAAGCGATGTTGCACCTTGGCAACAGAGAGGCCGTGACAACCGTTCGCGCGACGACTACGGGTCTCGGGACTACGGCAGCCAAGGCCAAGCCCCATGGGCCGGACAGAGCCGTGGAGGCGACTATGGCTACGGTGCTCCTGGTGGTGCTCCTGGTGGTGGGTACGGTGCTCCTGGAGTTGCTCCTTGGCAACAGCAAGCCCCGCCTCCACCGCCTCCTACAGGCCCGTCTGGGTACGGATATGGCGGATACCCGGGTTTCGCTCCTGGAATGGCTGCTCCTGGTGCTCCGGGAATGGGTGTTCCTCCTCCTCCACCTGGTATGCCTTCTATGTACGGCACTCCGCCGCCGCCCCCTCCACCCGCGGACGGTCCTCCGCCTCCGGTGAGTTTCTATGCCCAAGCTAAGTCCAGGTTTGGAATTATAATCCACTAACATTGTAACAGCCTCCTTCCGATCAGCCCCCGCCGCCTCCCCCGCCTGCGTAAACGCACTGTTTCGCTGGTTTGCTTTGTTGTGTTGAAATGGACTGGAATCGAGGTTAATGGACGTTCGTCGGAAAATATGATATATGGAATTGCTGTCGTTACCGTATGCTGTAATCAATCGCTTTTGAATACTATGTTATCGGTTAAGTATTTTGACTAGTAAAGATCCAATTTGTACGGGGTAGAGTTGTAGCATTATGTTCGGATAATTTGGTATTGATGCCTCAGGTTATCACATGCCTCAGGCCGTCCTGTCGACGCTCACCTCAATTTTACACCAGGATATCGTTTTTGTTCTTCGCGTTGTCGCTGTTCGAGTCGCATCCGCTGTGCGGATTATATTATTATATTATTTCTTATAATTCACTCTAATTTCTTAATCTCCCAGCGTTATCCTATACTGCAACCATGCAGGATCCTGCACCGTCACCGTCCCCGGGGCACCTATCTGCACCCCAAGGGAGCTTCCACACTCCATCGCAAGAACCAGCAGAGCCTCATTCGCGAAAACCATGGCAATCTTCGCGTCCCCAGTCTTCCCGGGTGGGAAGGGCCCAGTCACAGCAGCAGCAGCAGCAGCAGCAATCGCATCATGCCGAGACACCGGCAGCCAGCGCAACGGCAAATTCTTCCATAAAACAGCCCAAATGGTGGAAAGTCCACCTTTTCCGTGGAATGATTAAAGATATCAAGCGCCGCGCACCGTACTATTGGAGTGACTGGATCGATGCGTGGGATTATCGCGTCGTTCCGGCGACGGTTTATATGTTTTTTGCCAAGTGTGTCTCCCGTCCTCTCCTCTGGAAATGGTATGGTTTGCTCACTGAACTGGTAGTATATTGCCTGCTTTGGCGTTTTCACTGGATATGTTTGAGAAGACGAATCAGAGTTATGGGGTGAATGAGGTGTTGTTGGCGAGTGTGTTGGGGGCGGTGGTGTTTTCGCTTGCTGCGGCGCAGCCGTTGGTTATTGTTGGTGTTACTGGTATGCTTTCTTTCTGATACTCTAGCGTGAGGCTTAGGTGGAAGTAGTTTTAAGGACAGGCGCTGACTGGTATAGGTCCGATTACGGTGTTTAACTACACGGTTTATGATATCATGGCACCGCGTGGAACGCCTTATTTGGCGTTCATGTGCTGGATTGGAATGTACGTCTACTTTATCAATTGATGAATAGGTGCTGAATTTTGTTCACAGATGGTCATTGATCATGCACTGGATCCTCGCCATCACCAACGCCTGCAATGCCCTGACCTACGTGACCCGCTTCTCCTGCGACATCTTCGGCTTCTACGTAGCCTGCATCTACCTCCAGAAAGGCATCCAGGTCCTAACCCGCCAATGGGGCGCAGTAGGTGAGACCTCAGCCTACCTTAGCATCATGGTCGCCCTCCTCGTCCTAATGAGCGGCTGGATCTGTGGCGAACTTGGAGGTAGCAGTTTCTTCCAGCGCTATGTGCGCAAGTTCCTGGAGGATTATGGAACGCCGTTGACGATTGTGTTTTTCACGGGTTTTGTGCATATTGGACACATGAGGGATGTTAATGTTGCCACACTGCCAACTGGGAAGGCGTTCTATCCTACGATGGAACGGGGGTGGTTGGTGAGGTTTTGGGATATTGATGTTGGGGATGTGTTTTTGGCGATTCCGTTTGCGGTGCTGTTGACGATTCTCTTCTATTTTGATCATAATGGTAAGCTTTATCCCTCTAAGAAAGGTGAGATGAAAACTAACTGGACAGTGTCATCGCTCATGGCCCAAGGAACGGAATTCCCTCTCCGCAAACCAGCCGGCTTCCACTGGGATTTCTGGCTTCTCGGTCTCACCACCTTTGTCGCAGGCCTTCTGGGCCTCCCCTTCCCCAACGGTCTCATCCCACAAGCACCATTCCATACAGCCTCCCTCTGCGTCACCCGCGACGTAGCCGATGAAGACGATACGAACAAAGGCAAAGCCGTCCGCATTACGGACCACGTCGTCGAGCAGCGCGTCAGCAATTTCTCTCAGGGCCTGCTGACGGTAGGCACGATGACCGGTCCGCTCTTGATCGTCCTGCACTTGATCCCGCAAGGTGTCATGGCGGGTCTTTTCTTCATCATGGGCGTTCAGGCGCTGCAGGGTAACGGGATTACGCAGAAATTGATTTTCCTTGCACAAGACCGTAACCTGACACCAACCTCGAACCCATTAAAGCGTCTTGAGCGCCGTCTCGCCATTTGGGTCTTTGTGATTCTGGAATTAATCGGCTTCGGTGGTACCTTCGCCATCACGCAAACCATCGCCGCGATCGGCTTCCCAGTTATTATTCTCTTCCTCATCCCCGTCCGCGCATTCCTCTTCCCATTATGGTTTACCCCGGAAGAACTATCAAATCTCGATGCCCCAACCGCCAGCCCTTTCACCATGGAAAGTGTCGGTGGAACGCACGGTGTGGATGACTCTGCGGATTCCGGCTCCAATAACGGTCAGGGTCAATCGAAAGCACCCACTGGTGAGGTGGCCATGATGCGCCGTGATCGCAGCTCGTCGGGGTCAGCGGTGGAAGATGATTTGGAGAGGGGGGAGGCGTATGAGATGCAGCCACAGTCGCGAGCTTCGATGAGAACTAGACGGGGTACGGCGAGTGGGATAGAGGTTCAGCCGTCTAATGACTAATGTACTGAGTGAAAGCTTGCCTTTTCCAAGACTGCATGAGGTGCTGTTGCATAGAGTGTAGTTACATAAGTATCTGCCATCTTCATGGAGAGTTTTAGACGATATGGGCATGTTGAGCTTATGATGATTTGTATGAATTGGTCCACGGGCACCGCCATGATTTTTACTTCAACGTGTTCCTCAATCATTATTATGTGCAGTGTGCTATAATAATAAAGCAATTCAGTCCGCTCTGAGCATATTTCACTTTCTTCCTACATCCCTTGAGTTAGAGCTCAACGCAAGACGATTGATTTATATCGCTCCAACGCAAAGAGTGCAATATTTTGGACCTGACACGAGATGTCAAGCCGTCGAAACAGGGATTCGCTCTGTCAGCTTTAACTTGTGATGAAACCGTCTTCCCGTTGAAGATTTGCCTTGAGGATTCTGACATCTCGAAAATTCTCTCGAAACTGCATTGGGCATCGAGACTAGAAATATAGTATTAGTGCCAGGCACAACAAACCCACAGATGAGAGGCAACGTATTCATCCTGTTGAATGCGATGAGCAAATAGTATCATCCACCTCCCTCAAATCTTCCCATATGTTCGTGGACATTGCTTCGCCACTTTTCCCCTCGTTAGACAACACATTCAGGGGTGTGCCTGCAATTTTTTGTTAACGAGAAGCCATGAAGCGCGATAGGACTCCTTCTGGTATTGGTCTTCGAGAGATGCGCTGGTCCTAGCTCCGAATGAGGTGCTGGAGAATCCGAGATATATGACAACATACATACCTAAATCATGAGCTTTATGGTAGGCCATAAATAAGATTCATAACCGGTATATATCACTTGGGAAACTGTAGAACTCATTGCTGTAAGCATTCAGCTACTTGCTCGTCCAAATTCGTTGAAATGTTTTGGTTTGGTTAGAACCCATTTCTTTGTAACGTCTAAAAATTCCTGGAATGGCTGGGGATTTCAGTGCCATAAAATAGTTAAGAACCCAGGATGTCTCTTACACCGTTCGACAATTTCTGGTTCGTTGGCATTGACCACTTCCCCGACTGTTTCTTAAGTTGCTGATTCCGAGATACACCGCAAGAAGTCATGGTTGGCCTTGTAGTCATGCTACCATGCAGTGTTCGTCGCCAAAATTTCCTATTATATGCAAAGCACGGCCGATGCGTCTCTGTAATGTCAGCCACCATTTGGCTGTACACTCGAGAAGTGGTTAAAGAGCCAGCAAGCAAGATCTTTCTCGAATCTAACATTCATATTGTTGGTAAGTTTCTGAAAGACAATCGCTTCACCTTGCGATAGCAAATTGGGGTTAGGGCATATGCCGTATGATCGGTTCCGGAATGCATGAGCATTTTAAAATGCACTGTGCTTGGATGATTCTTGAAACTTTGGCTAGCGATCACTGGCAAGCCTTGGCCTGACAGGAAGAGGATGCGAAAAAGACGAGGAAATCTGCTGAGGGAACTTAGTGCCAAATGCAGGTCTATTTTCGCTCAGTGAAGTACATGTGTTTCTCATAGCGGAATGTCCAACAGCAGCAGCAGTGACTACTCTATATACATTCTTTCATTCACCTGATGCCACAGGTGGTATAGACAAAGGGATGGTGTTGGGCTATGGTACTATCAAATCGTATTGTCGGATTTCGAGGCATTGCCCCACGCATTCATCACGGGATTTCCGCTTAAATCTGGAAATATTAAGCGCAAACTTGAGTTTCTTCTTCTTCTTCTTCTTCTTCTTCTTCTTCTTCTTCTTCCTCCTCGGCGTCAGTCTGAACTGCTCTGGGTTCAAGCAGTCTTTTGTCCGTTTGAGGTTCAGCCAGCTGGGTACCGGGACATCGTACATGATGGATTAGCCTGAGCCACCTGTTCTTTTCATTGTCGTACATTGACACATTTATCTCATTTCTTGGTTGACTAGGGGGGGAAAAAAGGGGGGGAAGACGATATGAATATGTAATAGCTATAATAATGCTCTTAATGAGGGTTGGTTTATATCTATCACGTGACTCACCGCTACCGCGGTCAACTTTTTTTCTGCCGAAATATTTGGAAGATTTTCAAAATCGATATCGAAGATTTGCAAGCAAAGGAACACACAATGGCGCCCTCAAGTCCTGCAGAGTCTATTTCGGATGATTCTCATGAATTCTCCGGATCAGACTCATCTGACCAGGAAGGAAATGGAGGGGTGGAAATCCAGGCAAGAGCGCCGAAGCGCAGACGTCTTTCTGAATCCGACGACAGCGCCAATGGCAGCGAAAGTGAAAGCGACAACGGCGACAATAACAACGACAATGTTGACGAAGTCAAAGATGATGGTGACGACGAACCCGCTCCAGCCCCAGCCCCTCTCCCAACCATGTCCCGTATTAGAAAGAAAGACGACAAGCCAGCACCAGCACCGCAAAACGACAAGTCCAACCCCGAGTTTATTCGCGACGCAATCGAGATCGGGCTTCAGAATGCAGAGTCCTCATTCAAAGCGCTGAATGTTGTGCCTTGGCTGATTGGTTCGTTGACCACGATGGCTGTGCGCAAGCCGACGGCGATTCAAAAGGCTTGTATTCCGGAGATTCTGAAGGGGAGAGACTGCATTGGAGGAAGTCGCACGGGATCGGGAAAGACGATTGCGTTTGCGGTTCCGATGTTGCAAAAGTGGGCGGAGGATCCTTTTGGTATTTACGGGCTGATTTTGACGCCTACGAGGTATGTCTCTATTACCACCAATTTGGCTATGTGGAGGTGCTAATGATAGTAGAGAACTTGCGTTGCAGATCTATGAACAGGTGAAGGCGATTTCGGCACCGCAGAGTATGAAGCCGGTTCTTATTACTGGAGGAACGGATATGCGACCTCAGGCGCTGGCACTGGCACAGAGACCGCACGTGGTTATTGCGACACCTGGTCGATTGGCGGATCACATCAACACATCAGGAAAAGAAACAATCGCAGGGTTGACCCGTGTGCGCATGGTAGTCCTCGATGAAGCAGACCGACTTCTTACCAGCGGACCCGGCAGCATGCTCCCAGACGTGGAAACCTGCCTCTCCGTCCTCCCGCCCTCCAGCGAGCGCCAAACCCTCCTTTTCACAGCAACACTCACCCCCGAAGTACGCGCTCTACAATCCATGCCGCGCCCATCCAACTCCCCCAAACCCCCACCATTTATGACCGAAATTTCCCCCGAAACAAAAGGCTCCATCCCACCAACCCTCCACCAATCCTACCTCCAGGTTCCCATGACTCACCGCGAAGCCTTCCTTCACGCCCTCCTCTCCACAGAAGCAAATCTCTCAAAACCAACCATCATATTCTGCAACCGCACCAGCACCGCTGACCTCCTCGAACGAACCCTGCGCCGCCTCGCCCACCGCGTTACTTCTCTCCACTCCCTCCTCCCGCAGTCCGAGCGCTCAGCGAACTTAGCTCGGTTCCGTGCCTCCGCGGCCCGTATCCTCGTCGCAACAGATGTCGCCTCGCGTGGTCTAGATATCCCTTCTGTCGAGTTAGTCATTAACCTCGACGTACCCCGGAACCCGGACGACTACGTGCACCGTGTTGGTCGTACGGCGCGTGCGGGGAGAAAGGGTGAGGCGGTTACGCTTGTGGGTCAGAGAGATGTGGCGCTTATACTTGCAATAGAGGAGCGCGTGGGGAGACAGATGGTGGAGTATGCTGAGGAAGGGGTTAATGTTGAATCGAGGGTTGTTAGGACTGGTTTGTTGAAGGAGGTTGGAGTTGCAAAGCGTGAGGCTGCAGGTGAGATTGAGGAAGGGAGAGATGTGCTAGGGAGGAAGAGGAATAAGTTGAAGAAAGTGAGGTAAGGTAATGTACCTGTACCTGCATGGAATAGAAATACTTGCAGGTGATGTGTATATTGCTGTTGCTATTGTACAGTTAGATGTGATCTTATTGGTCAGTTTATAATCTATTTCAATCGATTCGATTGATTCGATATACAAAATTGTAACCGTCTATACTCCTGGCTCCTATAATATACAGTTCCCACTGATTATGGTATCATCCATCATGACTCCTGCTAAGCATTGTACAGACAAAACTTGAGCCAGTATGTATGCAAGATCAACATGTATGCATTCAGTCAACGCAACGCTTTTTTCTGTCTTTCCAGCTTCTATATCAATAATAATACCAATAACAAGGGTATATGCAATAATCCTCCCCACCCCAAAAAAAGAGGCATGAGGCATGAATCAATTATCTTAAGCCGAATGCTCGTGTCTTTCAGCAGTATTCATGAGCTTAAGCAGTCCGTCCACAGCATCACCTTGTTGTGATGGCGTCCTTGTGACATCTTCAGTGTCATGGTTATCTCTGTCCCTCTCGCGCCGGTCGGCTCTGTCGCGCGAGATACTAGCGGGCGGGCTACTCAGCTGTATTGGTGACTCTGGTGCACCCGAATGGTCATGTTGGTATGTCTGTTGAGTTGGGGTCCTCATGGGATCATTGGTTGTATTGTTTGTGGATAGGGGTGGAGAGGATAAGCCCGCGTTTTCATCTTTGTTGTTGTTTGATGTGGGGGCATCTTCGACGCGTGCTTTTAATTCGGGAGCAGGTTGAAGGGCTCGCGGAGCGGTTTCTTCAATTTCGGTTTCGGGGAGATGCGATGCAGTGTTGGTGACATTTGAAGTGGTTCTTGGTAGGGTACGGGTTTGCTGAGGTGTTTTCGATAATCGAGGGTATTTGCGACTGTGGGCTTCTAGCTCTGACAACCGGCGATCGAATTGGTGATCTCTGACGTGACGCATGGCGCTTTGGATTCTGATGCGGAGGAGATTTGCTTTCTATATCGCGTTAGTCAGTCAATTGCACTTCATATGCCATCATGAAGTTGAAGATTGTGTCCGTACCTCTTGGATAAACACCTTGCGCGTCTCTGGGTCCTCCGGGATTGTTCGCGTTGGATTATTCGACACGTCCGTTGAAGAAACATCCTGCCGGGATTCAATTGGTGATGTTTGCTTTCGTTCCTGCGACCTTGACGTATCCATCGCGTGCGGGGGTTCAGGTTCAAGTTCCGTTTCCTTCTGGTTTGACTATCACCACAAAACAAGATCAGCTGCCAATGCTCCCTCCTTTTAAACATCTGTTCATCTGAATCTCACCCTAGCAGCATCAACTCCAGCAGACCGCGTCTCTTCCTCTTCCCGAACATGCAAACTGCCTCTGTTTACCGGAACCGGATCAACCTGGTCGATGGTGCGTTTCCGGCCTGCAAGACCAAAAGGTGGCGATGGGAGGAGCTTCTTCGGTGATGAGGAGGGGTATCTCTGGTCAGAGAGAGGTGGTTTGACGGGCGATATAGCTGTGTCGATGATCCGATTGCGCGCAGGCGACAGACACGCGTTGGCGGGTTTCTCGCCGAGCACTCGTCGGCCGTCTTTGATGGGGCTGGGGTGGATTTGAACCGGATTCATTTCTTTTCTCTTCCAGCAAGTACATACAAGAGAGGGGGAGGATTAGACGTTCAATTGGCGCGTCGAGGTGTAGTGGTTGGACGGGGAGGTGGAGGGAGGACGGAAAGGCGAGACCGGTTCTTATAGTACTAAACCCGGCGGGGAAAGATTGGAGAAAGACTAACAAATAACGCCAATCACCGTATCAATTGTAAATAAAACGAGTTCGGGTGGAAAGTGGACAATTGAGTGAAGGAATTGGTTTGGAAAATAAAATTAAAACAGAGCAAGGAACGGGCCGCGTTGGGAGCTGGCGACGAAGCTGGGCGTGTTGGTGAGACCGTCGCGTGCGCCTCTCGCGTTTATGACGCCGGGCGACGTTAATTACTCTGTACGGGTATTACCCACGCGTCGATGGCACCTCGAATAAATTTCATAGTCATTCATAATTGATGTTTCTTTTATGAAGTATTTTCGGTCTGGTACTTCGATTAAGCATGTCAGATACTTCAGGTGACAAAGCATCGCGCAGCACAAATTAGGGTTGGGCTTATTCAAGCACAGAATCTTTGTCGCTCTGATCTACTAGATCAACCGTTGCATGGTCTCTCATTGCAGACTGATGTTTTCTCACCCATACTATCTTATTATCTATAGGCCTTCTGGCATCTCTTTCATGGACCCGCTATTATATATTTCTAATAAGCTATCTGAGGGGATACATATATATATATATGTCGGAGACTCCTAGCCCCGATAAAAAAAATGAAATCAGAGATAAGAAGTCACATTTGCAACACCTCGGCGCTCGTCTTATTGGGGGTTCTATGCTGATATTTTATCCAGACTTCCTGGCCTCATGGGACTCGCATGTTACCTCAACGGCCTGCAGCATCCCAGAAAAAGCTGCGAGTAGCATGCGTGCCCTGCATCCGGCTTAAAAACCCACCTGCACCTTTATGCATAAGCGAACCACTGAACCTTACCATTCAAATGGCCGCCTCTTCCCACATTAACCATACCGAGTGGTATAGGTATAACGCTCAAACGTGTTGTGCTGCATGTTTATTATTCGATTGGGCCCAAATGCTATGGACGTGTGGAAATAAAGACCATAGTAAACCATGGAATAGCTTCATATCCGGTTGCATTTGGTCAGAAAACTAATCCTAATACGAACATTGAGCCTTGTCGAACAGCAGCCACATGCAGTAACTGGCTTCCTGACTGCAGGCCGCGACATCAGACCCGTTTATAAGCATGTTACACATGTCTACCCAGGTAGGGTAATATGGAGATCAATTGTCTCGGTTGGGCACGGTCACCATGTAACCCACTGGAGTAACATATGTGATGACTCGGGTATTGAGTGTCATAGAGTTTGATAGTCGATAATTCAAATACAGAGTGAGCGAAATGTTAAAGGTGAACTCAATTCAACTCCAGAGGAGAAAAGAAATCAAAAGGGAATCATAAGTTGATATAGCTAGGATGATGGTGGAAGAGAATGCCAGCGAATGGACCAAAAAGGAAAGCATACCTCGGCATGGGGCTTTCATCATTGTTATTGGTTCATTTCCATGACCGCCCATATAAGCTGGGGTAAATATGGCATAACTGGGCGGTGAGACTCGAGGTATGGTCTCGAATCGACTCGCATCGCAGGCAAGACGTCTCTTTCCATCTCCCATCGACTAGAAACGCTATATATCATCTAAATTAATATTACTATATATCTTTATTTTGACTTCTCCAGGTCGCACAACGCATATGCGTCTATCCCTTGCGGTGCTGGCCACCGCTGTCGTGCAGGCCGCGGTTGGCACAGCGTCAACTCTTACACCTCCAGTCCTACCATTAACCGTGCGAAATCCCTACCTGAGCACTTGGTTGGGAAGTGCACGTGACGCACCTTGGTCGTCATGGCCCATTTTCTATACTGGCGAGGAGGTTGGCCTCTCTGTGATGGCCCAGATCCCTAGCACGGGCTCTGTATACCCGCTCGTTGGCAAGCCTCATGAATCCCTTGGGTATAGTTTAGTTGGCGACCGATGTGGATAAACAGACGGAAACTGATAGTACATTGCTCATTCAGGTCGAAAGTCGAGTATCCTACCTATCTCGGTGCCAAATATGATGCTTCTACGACCAATTTCACCTATGTCCTCGATACCTCGACCTCGTCGGTTGCTGCTCCGCTCGAGATTACGGTTTCGTTTCTGTCTCCCATAACCCCGACATCGACGCTGCGACAGTCTATTCCTGCATCGTATGTGACGGTCTATGTCGATGGCGATATAAATGTCAATATCTATATGGATTTGAATGGTCGCTGGGTGAGCGGAGACCAAGGGAGTCCCATTTCCTGGGAATATGACGTCATCGGTCTTGAGCACAGCAAGCAGAAGCAGGCGTTGCAGCGATGGCAGATTAGGCGACAGAATGAACTCCTGCTTTCTGAAATAGGTGATCGTGCGGAATGGGGCACCCTTCACATTACTGGACCAGCTGTTCGTGTTTCCCCTGTGCTTGTTCCGAGGCCGTCCGAAGCTGACCATTTCGCAGGATGTCCAGTATCAGTCGGGCGATGCTACCAACGTAAGACAAACTTTCGCAGGAACGGGCGCCATAAAAAACTCGAATGATGACGAGTTCCGCGCTATTGGAGATCGCGAGCCTGTGTTTGCTTTCTCCAAGTCCTTCGTCTCCAAGCAGCAAAGAGGCAAGATCAGTGACAGTGTGACTTTTACCATTGCGCTCATTCAAGAGCCTGTCGTTCAATATGCCTCTGCTCGCGGTATTACTCTGATGCGGCCACTTTGGCAATCGTGGTTCTCAAGTGTCGAGGCGCTGCTTCAATTCCACTACTATGACTTTGACAACGCTGCTACCTTGGCGTCCGACTACTCCAACCAACTGGCCAAAGATGCCTATCTTTCTGGAGCGGAGGACTATGTTGACATTGTCGCTCTATCGGCTAGGCAGGTTATGGGTGCTACACAATTCTCCGGTACCCCGGAGGACCCTATTTTGTTCTTGAAAGAAATCTCCTCCAACGGAAACTTCCAGACCATCGACGTCATTTTCCCAGCGTTCCCATTCTTCATGTATACCAACCCTCGGTGGTTGGCATATCTCCTGGAGCCTTTGATCGAGCACATGCTGAGCGGGCAGTATCCCAACAAGTACACCATGCACGATCTGGGAACCCATTTCCCCAATGCCACGGGTCATCCAGACGGAAACGATGAGTACATGCCAGTGGAGGAGTGTGGAAATATCCTCATCATGGGATTGGCGCTAGTGAACTCTCTCCGTTATGATAACGATGCGGCCGCTTCGTCGGTGTGGTCTACCCAGGGAATGTCGCCAAAGGTGTCAGACGACAATGCTGGCTATTTCCCTCTGGACACTCTGCAGACACTCTCTGGCATTGGTCAACAGGATGGTAAATGGGGCGGTGGTACGCAGGGCGAGCTGCTGGCCAAGAAATGGGTGCAGCGCAGTTACCGGCTCTGGAACCAGTGGACCGGATACCTGGTTGAGTTCTCCTTGGAGCCTGCTAACCAACGTAAGATTCAAGTTCATCATAACAAAGGCATGTTGCTGATTGACTACAGTGTCCACCGACGATTTTGCTGGGTGGCTTGCACTGCAGACGAACCTGGCCCTCAAGGGAATCATCGGTATTAATGCCATGAGTAAGCTGGCCGAAGTTGTTGGAGAACAAAAGGATGTGTCATACTACAAGGTATGTGGCCCAGCGACTTTTTTTGTCGATATTGCACTAACTTGGCGAAGAACATCTCCGATAACTACATCGCGAAGTGGGAGGAGCTTGGCATGTCTCGCGATGGATCCCACGCGAAGCTTTCTTACGATTGGTTCGGTTCCTGGACAACCATTTACAACTTGTATGCCGATGCGCAGCTTTGCTTCCACCTCGACGGCACCAGCCTCTCACCTAAGGGCTCTTCCTATGAGCATCAGAGACAAGAGCCTCTTGGTGACACGCCCGGCAAGAACAAGGTAGGCTTCGTCCCCCGACACATCTACCAGAGACAGTCCCTCTGGTACCACAACGTGCGCCAAAAGTATGGTCTCCCCTTGGACAGCCGCCACCTATACACCAAGACAGACTGGGAATTCTTCGCCATGGCCGTCGCCCGTCGTGACGTTCGCAGCGAGATCCTCGAGTCTGTGGCCACCTGGATCAACGAAACAGTCACCGATCGCCCGTTCACGGATCTGCATGAGACCGAAGGTGACGGTAATTTTCCCGGCCCCAACTTCTTCGCACGACCCGTGATCGGCGGTCACTTTGCATTCCTGGCTCTGGAACGTGCGTGTGGTGGTCGCGCTATGGAAGGATTATCGTTCCTTGATGAAGAACCAGCTGAGGCTAAGGAATGGACTGCAGCTGCGGTTAAGGCAGCTGAGGAGTTTACTACTATGCACTACCGTTTTGGCCATGGGTCTGCGGATGAAGAGCTGTGATGTATACCTGTTTGGGTTAGTTCCCAGATCTATATATATGATCGATGTTCTATTTGATTTGCTTTGGGGATGTTGAATTATGGTTTTGATTCGCACTTGGCTAGATGTCGAGTAACATGTTCGTGGTTACTCATGATAACTTGGCTTGCATACATTACGATCGTTATACAACGTGGATGTCTTCCATAGATTGAACTTGGTCACACGAAGTAGCCCTACAGTGATACCAAGTTCTTAAATCATTGCCTTATGTTACGACGTAGCAACTGAGTACAGAATCTGAAATTACGATTACCCGTATCCAGTGTTTTGGCGTTGCGTGTGCTATTCTCATACAATTACAAGGAGGCAAGAAACGGAAAACAGTGAAAAAAAAAGAAAATTTTTTTTTATCCAGATCGTATCTCAAGCTTCAAGTCAATTTAAACTTCTGATGTGATATGATATGAGAGGTTTTGATGATAATCAAGATCCCACCATCACCAATCCTGCATGCCTTTTTTGTGTTATCCGTTTTTGACCACATACCCATTTGGTAAATCGTAGCATTGCCTTTTTCGATCAGAGGGGGCTAATTTAAGCACCAAGGCTGGGGAAGTTCTTCTCGTCAACGGTGACGGGGGTGGGACCGGTGGCACGCTCGCCGCCGCCGCGAGGACCGTTACCACGGCCACCACGACCGACGCCACGGCCGCCACGGCCACCACGGCCACGGGGACCACCACGCTCGCCAGAGCTGCGGGGAGCCTCGACAAAGCGCAGGTCAACATCGAGGTAGTTCTTCTCCTTGCGCTGCTTGGGGCCCTTGCTGCGGTTGTCGTCCTTGCCCTTGATGTACTCCTCCTCTTCTTCGCCACGCTTGAACTCCTTAGCCTGGGCCCACTTGCCGTCGGGCTTGGTGCCCTCGTTGGCGGCGCGGACGGGCTTAGCGCTCAGGTCACCAGCGGCAGCCTTCTCGGCCAGGTAGTCAGCGAAGGACTTGGCCTTGTCGGCGGCCTCCTCAGGCTCTTCGCCGGCGGGGGTCTGGGGCTCGTTCTCGTCGGTCTGGGCGATCTTCTGGCCGGCCTTCTCGTCGTCGAGTTCCTTGTCGCCGGTCTCGCCACCCCAGCCCTGGTTGATCTGCTTGCGGGAGTCGCTAGATGATTGTTAGTTTCTGCCTGTAATTGGCCTTGTATATGCGTAATCTCTTACGTCACACCGCTGCGGTTCTGACGGTCGTTGCGGGAGCGTCCACCACGGTCACCACGGGCATTGAATCCACGTCTCTCAGGGTTGTTGCCCTCGTCAACGGGACGGTCGACATTGTTGCGGCGGCCAGCGTTACGGTCACGGTAAGCTAGCCCAAGCATGTTAGCCTTTCCGAATCCTGAGTTATGATATCATGTACATACCGGCTTCGTTGCCCTGGAAGCGTTGACCACGGCGGCCAGTGTTCTCACGGGGCTGCTGCTGCTGAGCGGGTGCCTCCTTGGGAGCGTCACGTTTGCCCACGCGCGGTGTAGGCTTGTCTAGAGCCTTTGTGGGGGGCTCGGGAGCTCTGTTGGGGTCGAGTTCAGGGTCATTGCCTGTAAAATCGCGTCGCAAATAGGTTAGAGATGTAGATCTAAAAATCGCGGTGCGCTTTTGTTTGCTTCGAGGTATCGAAAACACGCGAAAAGACTAGAATAGGGAAGGGTCGGAAATACCAAGAAGCTCGTAGACGTTCTGTTAAAAAAGCAGGTTAACTGTTAGCTTGGATCTTGTCACTTTCGTTTGAAACGCAGTAATCGAGGTCAAATCAATTCTCATCGCTGATTTTCTTTTTTTTTTTTTTTTTTTTTTTTTTTTTTTTTTTTTTCAAATCCAAACTGGCTCTTTTCCACAGCTCTGCATCTCCAAATACAGCAAGATGCCTGAAAATCACAGCCCACAGGCCACACCCATAGAAACGTTTCTCACAGAGAAAAAAACTCGCAAAAATAAGGGAAAAACCGCATACCTTGGACCGGATCTCCGCCATGACGCCTGGATATTAACTGCCTTCCGGGGGAAGGAAGGCTCTCCGTTATCGCGACAATTCGGGTATAGAGAAGACGGGGGGAGCGAGGATGAGAGGGAGGGAAGACCCTTGGGCTGAACAGCTATATCCTCCTCTCAGAAAGAGATGTCAATAAGTTATTGTAATAGGGTGAAGGGTGGGCTTCTAACAGAGAAAGAGAGGGGGTAACTGGCGGGCGGCGGCGGGCGGCGGGCATTGTGGTTGCAACTCTCCGAATCGGGTAAGGTGCGGATTGGCTAAGCGAAAGAGCGGGAGGGGGGAATGCTGATTGGTGGAAGGGGCTTAGGGCTTAGGGTACTGGCGTCACTTGGAGCTGCGTATGGCATCATCGATGTTACTTTCCATGTATCCCAGTGTACGAGGTATATGGATTATTAAATTGAGAATAAGTTTCTACTACCCAGAGGTAGAATATTGGTATTGTTGTATCAGCCATTGACTCCATCTTTGCTGTCGTTGCTGAATTGGCTGTATGTCGGTGACATCGCCCGATGCGGGGTTGCCATGCGGCAGACAGTGCCGATGATGAACATGACAATGGCGATGACGATGTTGAATGCGGACATACGAGTACGGTGAAATCATGATTAAGACATGCAAATGTAATTCAATTCGAGGTATTATACACTTACAGATGTACAGAGTAAATATTCGGAGCTGCCGGTATGGATAACATCTATGCCTCACGTGTCATGTTCTAGCGTACATACAAGTAAAACAGGTAACTTTGCTTTTCTGATTGAACATTCTTTTTGCTCTTTTCAGCTGTTCGGGAATGTCCGACAATGACCGCCAAAAAGATTTTAAAAACAAATGGTATCAATATCCTCTCAAACGCCGGGAGTAATGCTAAATAAAAACAAACATTTAAGCTCTTCCAATTCCAAGTCGGAAGAGAACTTTTTGATGAAAATGGAATACATGTCAAGAAGTTGTAACAACATAAGAGACGAAAAAAAGAAAGCTTTTAGTGACGGGCGTGGGTTTGTTCGTAGCTAAAAGGGGTCTGGAAGTGCATACTCGCACTTAACCCAAACGGGTCCGTGTCCAGCATCGGTTCGTAATTCCCCAGCATCTGGTTGGCATTCCCATATGCACCGTTGGATGACTCGGACTGTGGTGTGAAAGTCGAGAGAGCATGAGACCCAACAGCGTGAGATCCAGTTGCACCGGACGAAGCATTGAACCCGGGCACGTATGACGACGGATCTACCGAGTCTTGATCCTCGTCGACGAGATCTGCTTGAGCATCGTATTCCTGTTCTGCAGATTATTAGAAAAACAATTCTAGAATCGATGATCAAGGAAAAAGCATACCTAGTTGGTCATAATGTTTCTGGAATGGCGAGGGATAATATGCCGCCGACGGAACTCGAGCAGCCCGTGACCCCGGTAGTGCCTTGGGGTCGTTCTCAGACTGCTGCATTCCCATGGGAGGGGATGCTTGATTGATATTCCTCGATTGCGGAAGCAACTGAGGTCGTCCCTGCTGCTGTTGCTGCTGGACCTGGGCGTCCATCCCGACAGGAGACATGGCACCCTGGAAACCGAAACCAGGTGACTTGGTGTGTGACGGCGATGAAACGTGGGATGGCGGTGTGGCCTGGAACTGAGGCGACGGCATGCCGTACGCACCATCGCGATGCTGTGGGAGGCCAAAAGGCTCTGCCGACTTGGAAGCGATCCCAGCTTGGGGATGCCTCTGGACTGAGTTCCGGTTCACCGCAGCCCGCTCCAGCGTCGTTGGCGGCTTGGGGGCCATGATGGGTTTCGGTTGAGGAGGGCCGCCGGGTGTCCCTGTCTTCAATCGCAGCTCAGCTTGGACATCGATGCCTGTGGTATGTGATTAGTGACCGCAGAGGAGAGTGGGGTGCAATGCGACTTACCCTTTTCGAGCAAGATTCGCTCCAGCAGCGAATTCTTATACCGCAGCATCAGACACTCATCAGCAGCAGTGCGGTGATTCTGCTGGAGAGTCTGCAGGCTATCTTCATTACGCTTGATGGTGGACTCGAGTTGGCGGATATACTCAGTGCGACGTTCACGGAAAGCCGCCTGCGCCTGTCGGTTGCGTTGCTTACGCTCCTCAGAGGTTGCGTAGATCTAGATAAGATAAGCAAAGCAACATAAAAAACAAAAAAAGGAAAAAAAAAAAAAAAAAAAAAAAAATAGGTGGCGAGGAATGAAAAGAGATAAGGAGGGTGTGTGAGTAATAGAATCCGAAAATGATATGTATAACTGTTGAATAATGGAAAAAACAAACTGAACAGTGGAGTGCGGGGCCCCGGATTCGAAGTCGCATAGAAAACAGATGGAAAAAGACAAAAAAAAAAAAAAAGATGTTACATACAGGTTTGCGGCCTCCCTTTCGCTTCTGCGTCTGGGCAACATCCTGTGTCAAGGCCTCTACCTCTACCTCAGGTGTCGAGACGGACGGACTGACTGAACCATCCAGGATGGGCTCTGACTTTGTGGCCACGGACTCCATGGCTGGATCATTATTGTTCAGCGTGGAATTAGAAGAGGCCTCGACCATAGAGACCATTGGCTTGGTCTTTCTTTCCCCCCCTTAATTTTGCCGTTCTTTTTTTTTTTTTTTTATCCCTTCTTGTGTTTGGTTTTATATTGAAGAAAGAACAGCCACGAACCCGGAATGTTAGAAAGAAGCCAGGATTCCGGAATCGTGGGGGATCCCTGTAGGGGGACCACTCAAGACAAGTTGAGAAAAGAAAAAAAAAAAAAAAAAAAAAAAAAACAGAAAAAAGACTCTTAAACAACGAGCCTCAGTATGCCTCAAAAAGCCTCAACTGAATGTGTATAATTAATTCACGAAGGAGTCCAAAGGGCGCCAAACGCAGTAAACGCGCGGCTGGGCGGTAAATTGGGACGTGCGAAGGTAGCAGCGACAGCGAAAACCAGACGACGGCGTGACATAAAGAAAATTGGCGATAAAAAAAGACGATTGTGAACGACTGGGGAAGAGTAAGGGAGAAAGAGGGAGGAGAGGGAAGAAGTGAGGTAAAAAGATTGCCTAAAGGAAAACGAGAAAGAAATAGTCAGAACTAAATTTTTTATGGCAAAAAAAAAAAAAAAGAAAAAGTACCTTGCCCGAGATCTGACTGTGGGAACTCTTCCTTGGCCTTTGGTTCTTCTCTTATTGAGACTGGAAAAAAGGCCAAGAAATGACAAGACTTTTTACTTTTTGATTTTCATTTGCCTCTTTGAATTACTCAGTCTTTTAGCTTCTTTTCCCTTCTTTTCCTCTTTTCTGTCTGTACTGTGTGTGCTCTCTCAGATGACACTTTGCCTCTCCGGCACTCGCGGTCCACCGCCATCAGGTCAGACCAGACCCAGCGGACCGGCGGATGGACATCGGCCGTGGACCGTGTGGGAGGCTCCAGGATGCGTTAACCTCTTACTCCGTACACAGTACAGTAGACAGTTTGCCGATGTGATTGGAGATTGGTTGGCTGCGAATTGACCTCAGCATGAATCTGAGGGGACGTGTTATTTGTCCAGAGAAAATGGGATGATCTCTCAGTTTCAGGAACTGTATTACAATACATTTTGTCTCTGTTCTCTACGAGTATTCTCTACCTTCTATATTCTTACTTCTTCCCTCTTACTACTTGTACTTTGTACAATGCCTGATCATGCCACTCTTCCTACTCTCACGACATCTCCAAAGTACAAGTACTTGTACACTCCGATACCGCATCGTCTCAATTACCCCATCGGGGCACGGCGGGGTCGGCACCTTAGCCAGCCAGGGGTAAGCCACTCTGTTGGTTACCAATATACCGTACAATACCCGTATTTGGCCCTCACGGCAAAGATCGGCCATCTAGCTCACATGACAGGACAATCCCTACGCAGCCTGTCCCGGTGTCTGTACAGAGTCATAGTCGACGCCAATATTAACGCCGAGACTCGATGAATCCCAGAACATTCAATAGTTGACATGCAAAGAAGATCGATCCGCGAAGAAGGACGAGTGACCATGACCGTGGCAGCTGGCGAGGCAGGCAATAGAGAAATCACAATGCAGGTGGCTGACATCACGCTGTCTGGCTTTCGAGACGTGGCCGGCGCGGTTTCGTGGGGGAGTCGGTCAGGTGATGCGGTTTGGGATGTATGGAGTAAGGGTCATCCCGGTTGCACATTTTTGTAGTTGTATTCAATCGTACTCAAGAGTACGGGGTACCTTTGTATACTCGGGCGCTACTTGTTCAAAATGTATAATGTCTACAGAATACTCCGTCCGTACATGTTCACTCTTTAAAACTATGTATAACGTGCTGATAACGATAACACGGCAAACTGACTGAGGCCAGCTAACCGCGGTCGCCGTCGGTTCCCCGCCAAATAAAATGCCACTGCAACTTCACATGCACCGTTTTATCCGCGCGGTCAAATTCTCTCCTCACTGCCCAACCACTCAATACGGTGTACTCGATACTTGACTAAGTGTTATTCATAACTAACGCCTGAAATCCCGCATTCCATCTTGCAGTCAAAATGGACCAGTCAACATCAACGTCAGTTCAACCAGAAAAGCCGCATGATGCAACCTCCGCCGCTCCAAGTGAGGGGAAGCAACCCCAGCCGACGCCGCCGGCAAAGGTAGAACAAGCAGCGCAAAAGGATGAGGAGGAGGTGGAGGAGGAGGAGGATGATGATGATGATGATGAGGAATCGGACCTTGATGACCTCGATGGTAAGATGTCATTTGAAATATCTAGAAAGAATCAACTAATATCATCAAGAGGTCCTTGACGACTTCTCCAAACCAGCCAACGCCAACAAGCAAAAACAACCCGAAAATGCCCCTCCACAGCCAACTACTGTTACCGAAAATGAAATCGGAAACGACGACGACTTCGACGAACAAGCCTTCATGAAACAACTCGAACAAGACATGGCCAACATGATGTCCCAGGCCCAGCAGGAATCTGGATCCTCCGATAACAAGGATTTCCAAGATACCATCGAACAAGGCGCCGATGCATTTGCGAAACAGTTGGAGGACAGTGGTGTGCCGCCGGGTGATTTCCTTAAGCAGCTTTTGGCGGAGGTTATGGCTGAAGAGGGTGGTGATAAGGATAAAAGTGGTGGTGCAGGGGTTGCTGGTAACGGTGACAGTAGCTCAAGCACAAATACTAAAGCCAATAAAGCCAATGCCCAAGCTGCTGCAGCCGCAGCTGCTGCAGAAAAAACACCCGAGTCCTTTAACGAGACCATTCAACGCACTATGAACCGCATGCATGAGTCTGGCGAAAAAGCCACCGCCGCTGCCAGTGAAAACGATGACGTCCCCGATGAAGTCTTACTTCAGCTCCTCAAGGCCCTTGAATCCACCGCATCAGGAAACGAGGACGACATCCAGAAGATGTTCATGGGGTTCATGGAGAAGGTATCGAGCAAGGACATCCTGTACGAGCCGCTGAAGGAACTGGAGGGCAAGTTCGAGCCTTGGATTACGGAGAAGAAGGGCAAGGGGGAGCTCAACGATGAAGATGTCAAGCGATATCAGATGCAGACGCAGATCGTCAAAGATGTGGTTGCGAAGTTCGAGGAGCCGGGGTATTCGGATGAGGATCCGAAATGTAGGGAATGGGTTTGGGAGAGGATGCAGGAGGCAAGTTTTCTTGGTTTGTGGAGACTATGGAGATAGTAGTGCTAACTTCTTGCAGATGCAAAACGCAGGAAATCCCCCCGACGAACTCATCCCCAATCCTCTTGCAGAGATGAGCGGCGCCGGCGGACAGGGAGCGATTCCCCCGGACTGTGTTCCGCAATAATCCTGCATTCTGAATTCTGCATTTTTGGAGTATGATACGACATCTGTCATATCGTGGTCCATTAAATAACATTTCTTGGCATATCTGTACATATACATATACACCGGTTGATACCCTATTTACATGGCTTATTATCCTATCCACATCCAATGTAACCAAGCCACCAACGCCGCTTATGTAATATTGTAGGTCAGGGAGTTTATCCACTTGACATGTCCATCCCCTGGTCTTGCAGATTTGGCTCAGGGAGGTCCATGAAAATGTCGTCATATTCTTCGTCACTAAACGAATTCGCCCCGTTTAGCTGCTGCTGCTGCTGCTCCTGTTCCAACGAATGTAACAGCTCCATATCCGCCATCTCCATCTCCAGCTCCTGCGACAAAAACTCATCCAACTGCGCCGTTTCATCTACGCAACCCAAGTTAGCCTCTGTCCATTAAGAAAAAAAAAAAAAAAAAAAAAACACTGAATCAGAACCACTAAACCTACCCTCAGTTAACCTTAAACCCCCCTCTCCATCAGCATCAACATCCGCATCAATCCCAAACTCCCTCATAATCCTCTCCGCCCTCCTCCCCATCGACTCCCTCCACTGCCTCTCCTCCTTCACATCCTCCATAAGTACCAACTGCTCCCCACGCGCCTCGAACCGTTCCGCATCACGATCTTCCCTTATCTTCTTCAGGAAGAGATTGCGCCGTTGGGCGCACGCGGCAGGAGAGGTGCCTGTTGTGCGGCGCGAAGTCGGGACTGAGGAGAAGGGGCTTGCGGTTTTGGCGCTGTAGCGCTGGGCGTAGGTTGATTGTTTCGTGTTCGAAGCTGGAGGTGTGAGGGGGGTGGTTTGTTGGTCCTGGAATTGGAATTGGAAGTGAGATTGGGGGGTTGGTGGTGGTGACTGCTGCTGGTGTTGTGCGGCGAAGTTGAAGAACTGTGATTGTGATGAGGACATATTTTTATTTGACGATGGTGATAACGGTGATGAATGTGTGGGTGTGTAATTGTGATAACGAGGTGTACACGGAGTAAACGGGAGTTGGGGTTGTGGTGATGGCTGCGTTGCGAACATGGTCGTGTCGTGTCTCGTCTGTATCTTGTAACTGCAGTCCGCGTAGGTTGGTTAAGTAAAAGCAATAAACAACAGCCTTGATTGTAATTAGCAACAAGATCACTCGGGAACAATGAATATTGTGGATGGACATACATATACTACTCCATAAAGAGAACCCCAGCCTCACAGATAGCAAATACCAAATACCGATAATGATGTGTGGTTGGGAATGGAGGATCGGACTCTGACACGACCCGAGACGCGGAGTCACGCGACGCGCTAGGCGGTTCTGGGAAGGTTACATTCCTCAGGAAATCTTATTTAGATCTTTCAATAGCTTCCAATACTGGTAGTTTTTGCAGAGTTAAAATGTAAATTCGAAGCAATATCCTACCGAGTACGTATCCTTGTGGCGAATATTATGGAGTAGAGGGATAGTCTAGATGCTATGGAGTACTGAATACTCTCGCGTGCTCTCCTCACCAATCAAATATTGAACCCATCAGAATTCGAACCTTGTATGTTAGAAAGATTGGAAATGCTGAATTGAGATCGACCTTGAACAACAGTTCTGTTGGTTACGTCTCCTGACAAGCCAGTTCGAGATTAGGATTGTTTCAGATCAGCTACGCACTTTGGGTAAAACTAAATGAGCGAGATGTGTATTTCCTGTCACTAATTAAATACAATAGATACATTAGAAGAGAACTTTACTTTTCTGGCTCATCTTATACAGCCAGTAGAAAGAAGAGAAAAGAAAAGGCAAAAAAAAAAAAAAAAAAGTATAAGACAGAAAATACTATATTTGACAATTTCCCAGCGGAATCAAATACCAGATTCAAACGAAATGCAGGGGGGAATCAAAGGGAAGGAAAATGCTCTCAAACAAGTATCGCTGGGACAGAAAAGGAAACGAGCGTCATCGTCGAAGGAGCGTGGAGTTTGTCTATTATGCGAAACAAAAAGCAGATGCAGCTCATATAGCAGCATGAGAATAAAATCAACCACCCACAAGCGCCAATATCAAATTGCGTAAGGATCGTTGAGAATGTACACCAGAAGTTATTGTTATCGTTTTCTTTGCGAGAACGAGGATCAAGTGCCAGCAGCTTAGAAATTCGAAGCTGCGTTGACGGGGCCAGGGTTGTGGTACTGGTCCAAGGTGGATCTGAACGGAGTGCCACCAGCAGCACCAGGGCTAGGTGCCTTCTCACGAGTGCCAGAACCGACCGGAGTGCCGCTCATGAGATCGGCAGCTTCATCGGAATCACCGCGGTTCTTCTTGGAGCGGAGCCGCCAGAAGACCAATCCAATGACACCGAGCGCGATGGCACCACCAACACCAACAACAACACCAATGACGACTTTCTTATTCGATTCAGAAAGACCCGAGTTATCCGAGTTGGAGCTGGAATCTTCGTTGAGACCTGGAGCACTGGTGGCCTCACCAGCAGCGTTGGTGTTGACAGAGGTAGAACTCATGGTCGTGGGGACGGGAGTACCGCTGATAGTCTGCACGGTCGTAACCACTACCACCTGGGAGGTAGTGCTGGGCTTCGAGGTGGTGGTCGCACTGGTCTTCGTGGGGCCCGTGGTAGTGGCATCGCTGGTAGTAGTGGCAGAGGTCGATGATGGTTCATCGGTAGTCGTGGTTTCCGAACTAGACGAGGAAGAGGTTGATGTGGGAGTAGTTTCCGATTCTGAAGTAGAAGAGGTCGAAGTAGGATCTTCTGAAGTGGTAGAAGTCTCTGATTCGGAGGACGAAGAGGAAGAAGTAGTAGTAGCCTCTGAGGTGGACTCCGAGGTGGGTGTAGCAGAGGGGGCTGAGCTTTCAGACGTCGCGAGGTCACTAACATCGGAGACGAAGGCACTCTGTCCCGACGTGACAGCCACGAGGGACAAGGAGTATAGAAAGAACGAGAGACTAGCAAGACGCATGATGGCAAGTAGTTGTTAATGAACTCGTGGATGATGATGATGATGATGATAGTAATAAAGAATGCGAAGGTGAGAGATGAAGAATCGGGCGGCTTTTGCGTGTTTGAGAGTTACGTTGCCCAGGGTTCTTTGTTCGTATCACCAGCTGTACCAAGGGATGAGCGAATGACAGTCAAGGAAATCAGCCACGGAAATGGTGAAGATTCCCTAAGGTTGGAAGAGCTATAGACAGAAGGATGAAAAAGGAAGAGAAAGAGAGGAGAAAGAGAAAAAGCGAGTGAAACCACGAGAGCGGCTAAAGAGTCAAGTGTCAAGAGAAAGAATGAATAGTGCCCAGTAATGCTAATAATATTAATGAATGATCCAGAGGGAGGGCCTCCATTTTTCTTTTTTTTTTCTGGCGATATGAGGCGAAAAGAAACGGTCCGAACAGGCTAGATCATCTTGGGTCGGTGGGACTTCGGAGCGCCATCTTAGTTTGGCCACTAATGTACCCCAGAAGCCAATCATCTCTCACCACTTGAGACATTCCAGACCTGCTCCCGCCAATCCCAGCCATGCTTCCGGATTATCCTGGTGGGGTGTACATACACTGCGTGTGGTTATTGGCTGAAATGGTTCCAACTTGGCGCTTCGAACCGGTTATTGACATTACGGAAATTTCAGGATAGAGCGGATATCTTACCTGGTTTACGGGTAATTCTTGTATTTTCGTTACAGCGGCACACTCTATCTCCGGGTCACTAACTCGACGTTTTTCCTGTTTAGGAATAAACTACGGGAGACTGACAAAGATTGTGGGCTTAAAATAGTCGCCACTATTGAAGATTTACAACAACTAAACTGGCTTTTCTTTTTTTTTTTTCTTTTTTTTTTTTTTTT